TTGGAAACTTGATCCCCAAAGCAGCAACGTTGGGAAGTGGGGCCAAATGATTGATTAGGCCATGTAGATTAGTGTCATTGAGTAGATTATTTTGAGAGTAAGCTTATTATAAAAGTTTAGTCTTTTGCTGTCCCACCTTTCACCATGGTATCACGGCAAGAAGACCTTTACTAGATGCAGGCCCTTCAGCTTTGGGCTGTAAGGAGAATAAACCTGATCTGTATAAACTACTCAGTCTCAAGTATTTTGTCATAGCAGCACAAAATAGACTAACAGGATAATCTGTTGTTCTGCAGATTCAACATAATTCCTATAAAAACCCCAACTTGCTTTATTTTCCTGCATAAATTGGCAAAGCTGATCCTGTTGAACTTACGTAGACATTCAAAGGGCTCAGACAGCCAGAATAATTTTGATGAAAACCACAGTTGGCTGACTCTTACTTCCTGATTTCCATACTTACTACAAAGCAATATTAATAAGACAGTAGGGAGCTGGCATATACATGTATCTATCAATAAAGTAAAATCGGTCCAGAAGTAAACCTTTACTTTTATGGTCAATTGAGTTTGATAATGGTGCCAAAAACATACAGTGGAAAATGAATCTGTTTTCATAAATTTCTGGAGCAGCTGGATGTCCACATCTTTAAGAATCCTATTGGTGGGCCAGGGATGTAGCTCAGTGGCACCGCACCTGGCCTGGCAAGCCCGAGGTCCTGAGTTCAATCCCCGGTACCAAAAAGAAAAAAACCAAAGAATCCTATTGGATTTTCTGTGTCACACCATGTGTAAAGAATTAAATCAAATAGAATCTTAGGGAGTTAACCAAAAATACAGTACTGTACTCTTAAAAGAAAACAAGTCTTTGTGATTTTCTGTTAGGGAAAGCAAAAATGGTTGGGAATCCCAAGGTGGAAGGGTGGTAAATTGGACTGTATCAGACTTAAAACTTAACTACAAATGAAAACAGTATCAAGAAAGTGAAAAGACAACCCAAGAATGGGAGAAAATGTTTGTAAATCATATCTAATAAGCTTAGGTCCAGAATATATAAAGAGCTTTATCACTCAATAATGAAAAAGGACAAAAAAATTTTTTTTTTGGTACGGTGGATCAAACTCAGGACCTTGCACTTGCGAGGCAGGCGGTGGCACCACTGAGCTAAATCCCCGGCCCAAAAATGCTTTTAAAAATTAAGGAAATGGGCAAAGAATCTGAATAGTAATTTCTCCAGACATAATTCAGATGGTCAGTAAATACTTGAAAAACTGCTTTGTATTGGTTATTAGGGAAGTGCAGATGAAAACCATAGTAAGATACCCTATTTCATACCTACTGAGATGACATGACAACAGCAAGTGTTGGTGAGGATGTAAAGAAAGTAGAGACTTTATACATTGCTTATGGATTATACGGTGGTACAGCCACCTTGCCAAATGAATTGGCAGTTCCGCAAAAATGTTCGACAGTTTACCATGTGACCTATCCCCAGTTATATACTTTGGTTAAAATGGGAACATAAATGCCTACAAAAACATGTACATAAATATTCATAGCAGCATTGTTCATAACAGTCAACAATGGAAGCAACCTAAATGTTGGTGAGGGAATAAGTAAAATATATATGTCTCTACAATGAAGTACTACTCATTGTTTACAAAGCTAATATACAGTATGGCACAACATGTATGAACCTTGAAAATATGCTAAGTGGGAAATGCTGAGAAAAGACCACATACTACATGGTTTATAGTTAAATGAAGTGGTCTCAAAAAGACCAAGGGCTGAGGGTAGGGATTAATAGAGTGGAGTGATTTGTACAGTTTCTTTTTGAGGTGATGAAAAATGTTGTAAACATAGACTGTGATGATAATTACCCCACTGTACTAAGAAGTTTGAGTTTTAAGCCAGGTGTGATGGTTCATGCCCGTAATCTCAGCTACTTGAGAGGCAGGCTGAAGGATTGCATGTTTGAGGATGGTGTGGGCAACTCAGTAAGACACTGTCTCGTAATTTTTTAAAAGGGGTGGAAATGTAGCTCATTGCTAGAGCATTTGCCTAGCATGTGTGTGGCTCTGGATTTGATCCCCATTACCACCATGGAATTGTATTTCAATAAAATTTCTTTTTTCAAAACAAGCAGACTTTTTTTTTTCTTTTTGTGGTACTGGGGATTGAACAGAAGGAACTCTGAGATACCTTTTCAGCCATTTTATTTTGAGAGATCTTGCTAAATAAGTTGCCCAGCCTGGCCTTGAAATTACAGCCCTCCTACCTCAACCTTCTGAGTAGTTGGGATTACAGGTGTGTAGGTGAACTTCCCTCTTCTATAATGAGCTCTGAAATGGGCCCTAGACAGTCTGCTGACAAGAACCAGTTTATGTTCATCTCAGCCATGACACCATCTCTTTATATTCAAAGCCTTTTGAGTTAATTTTGTCTAATTCCTTTTGCCGTTTTCAGTGGGATATGAGGCACCTAGACATCTTAAGTCAAAAATGGTTCATCTTCCTTGTTTGACTGTTAACAAATCAGAATATTGGGACTGAATGTTTGCAGTGAAAACTACCAGCCATATTACGTTTTTTGTTTTAATAGCCTGAAAGCTTCTCTAATGAGAAGGCCTCTTCATTCCTATTTAGCACTGCGGGAAAACCTTGTATCTTGATTATTGTGTGGCTTTCATTGAATGTTTCCAAAGTTCTATCCTGTGTCTGGAGTGTTGGCAATTAAATGTAAAAAAAGGGAGCAGGGGTTGGTTGCTAAAACTAGCAGGTATAAACAGTTACTTTACCAGAGAAGAAACCTGGTAGAACCACTTTGCCTGTATAATCAGAGTTAGCAGTGTGATTGTTACTGAGGAAGACATTGTCACTGTTGTGGTATTTGTTGCCAGAATGCTATAGCCTGAATCTTAATTATGAGGAAGCATTTTAGACACCCAAATAGAGTGACATTCAACAAATGTTTTCAGAAGGATCAAACAAAAAAAGATGATGAATTCTCCACATTAAAGAATAAAAAGATATGGGCCGGGGATTTAGGTCAGTGGTTTCACCACCTGCTGCGCATGGACCATAGTTCAATCCCCAGTACCAAAAAAAAAAAGAATAAAAAGACGAGCCGGGACTGGTGGCACATGCCTGTAATCTTGGCACTCAGGAGGCTGAGGTAGGAGGATCGCTGGAGTTTTGAGGCCAGCCTGAACTACAGAGGGAGACCCTGTCTCAAAAAGCCAAAAAAATTGAATAAAAAGACATGACAAATACAGTATATATTAAATTTTGGACTTGGAGAAAAAAAAGCATAAAAGGACTTCATTGTGAAAATTTAAATTGATGAAACTGAAATGTAAACTTGAGATTCAATGCTTGGTTCTCTAAAAGGGTGGGGTGGGTAGTTGATAATGTCTCAAGCTATATTGGGTTGTCTAAACTTTAGGTGAGGGCAAGGATACTGTAGGGAAGAAGCTTAGGATGCTGCTAAACATCCTACATTGCACAGCACAGTCCCCTGCGACACAGAATTGTCTGTCCCAAAATGTCAATAGTATGCAATTGAAGAACCTTGGATTAAGTGGTGTATCAGTGCTTGTTTATTTGGAAATACAGTATTCATTCCAATATTGAGGAGTAAAAGCACATGTGTCCAGTTTACCCTCAAATAGTTTAGAAAAATTACAAGTATTTTTATGTGGCAGCTAATGAAGCAAATGGAGCAAGATGTAAACAATTGGTGAATGTGTGTAAAGGTTATAAGAAATTTCTTGTTTTTAACTTATTTGAAACTTGAAAGTTTCCCCTAAAAACTTGCCAAGTGAAGCTGTGCATAAACCACCAGTATTAAAAGTTACCTCCCCAGTGAAGTCCAGTGATTAGTCAGATACTTCAAGACTAGTGGTATAAAAGAAAAATTTTACATAGTAGAGACAGGTGGCATAATCACTGAGCTAAATCCCCGGCCCTTCATAGTAGAATAGAATTTTCAATTTCCTAAGAGAACCTCTTGAAGTAGTGCTTCAAGTCACGAGCCCTTATGAAATTGACTTTCATGGAAATAGACAATGTGTATTAAAAAAATGCTTTGTATCATTATTTTATACCATATGTAAAAACAACTTAAAATGAACCTAAGGCAATTAACTAAAAATATAATACTCATAAGAAAACTGGACCTAAACAGTGTACTTAAACTATTGGCAGATAATATTTATGTAAGTAGGAAACATTTGATCATAATATATGGGGCTTTTTTCTTCACTAAAACATTAAAACCATATTTTTCCAAACATTGTAAGTGTCCGAGCTTTACAGCATGTCAATATTTTGTTCAGAAAAAACTTCGCTGTCTTTCAAGATAGTACTTGTATTATTTCTAAAAGGCCTCAGATAACTAGAATCCATTGGCAGTAGTATACATACTGTAAGTCCAGGGTCTGCCATAGAAATATCAGTAACTAGTGCTAAAGGGAAATTACATGTTTCTGGGTATTTATAACATTATGTTGCTGGTAATTGTATGATAAGTTGGTCATGTAGGATAGTACCTTCTGTTAATCTAACTTCCTAAGTATAAATTAGTAATATAATTTTTTATACCGGCGTAACTTTTCCACAAATATACTTTCTGTATATCAAGCAGAAACTGAAGAAAAAAATCCTTTTGTCTTGGTTGCCGTATTTACAGATCACTCAGGTCAGTCTTAGGCTGTAATCATAAATTGCTTCATTGTATATGAAGATGGAGTAAAAGGGCTGTGCTAAGGAATTATTTTTGATGGCATGTTTAACATAGCATTTTCTTTTGTTTTTATAAAAGGAAAATTTATTTTTATGAGGACAATAGGAGATGAGTAGGAACCACAAATTATTGAACTACCATTGGTAGGTTTTAGGTTGCCTTCTGAGAAAGGATTAATGACTTTCTGACAGTTTTTTGGTTGAAGTCAGCAGTGGTGTGGGTATCTGTGTATAATGCATAATTTTTCTTAATTTTCAGACCACGAAGACTATGACCCACAAACTGTGAGGCTGGGAAGTAGATATAGTCATGTTCAAGAAGTCCAAGAACGGCTTAACTTCCTTAGGTTTGTTTTATATAATTAGTATTGCTCTCTTTTAAGACACAGATGAGGAATGCAGAGTGCATGTGCTATATAGCTAGGTCTTAGTTGGGTGGTTTTTTCCTCGTCCTGCTTTTATTTGCCCACATAGAATTCATTACCTAAGAGTCACACATTTTCCTCTGTTTGTCACTAAATACTTTAAAATTATTGACTGAGTTTTACTTTGTAGAATGGCTGACAAAGACAAGATGAAGTTGTGTTAATAACATCATTTCTGATGAGGATGAGGAAAATAGGTTTCTTCTACTAAGTCAAAGTGAAATGTCCCCCGCTGGTTTTGCTCAGTGATAATTTAGCTTTTAATGAATATATTTAAAGATTTTTAAATGACCTTGTGGAGAAAAGTTTACATGATAAGTAAAAGTTTACATGATGACATGTAGCTTATGAATTCAAAAACCATATCATGTAGCAGAGAAGCCTGTTCTTGCCGTAAGTGTGCTAACAAAAATGCCCAGATGACCAGCACTTCAGAAAATCTATTGCTTTTATTATTTTGATACATGCTCCAGTGGCTATTTTCCTGGGCTTTGTTAATTGGCCTTATTTTTATTGAACTCTGCTTGCTTATGTGGGAATTTTGAGTAATTACATAATGGTTTTAATTTGAGAAAAACTATCCACCAAATTTTCAGAAAGGTGACATTTATTTAAAATGAAATGTTTTGTTTTTCCAACCACTTGAATAGAAGTGGCTGCCTCCCTAGAGTGGGAATCACTGCTGTAGAGTGCCATTGTTATTGATTGGTATATCCCTTCAATTTACTATAACAGAAAAGTAGTTTCAAGCCCTTTTTGCCACATTTAAGTTTGGAATCAGAGGACCTACTGTAACCCCTATTCTTATGAGTACTTACCTGTATGATTTATAGCAATTTACTTAAGGCAGACGAACCTAATTTTACTTTTTGTGGGGTTTTTTTGGTACCCGGGATCAAACTTGGGACTTTGCGCTTGCGAGGCAGGCGCCAGAACCACTGAGCTAAATCCCCAGCCCAACAAACCTAATTTTAATGCCTGCTGTATATTCAGCCTGTGTTAAAAACTTCATATTTACATTTCAGAGCAGCACAGTAAAGTAGGTTTACTCCCATTTGATCAGTAAGAAAACAAGATTCATATGGCTTAGAGTAGCTTGTTTGAAATCATAGTTAGTAATGTGATGAAATTACACTTCTCAACTAGACCTAAGTCCATCCATTTTCTTCGTGTTAGACCAGTAATTTTTCAGACTTGGAGCTTCAGGGCTCTGAGTAGATTCCTCATCAAGAGATGGAAAGTTTCATTCCCATTTCTTCTTTCTTTTTCCCCTCCCTCCCAACAAACGGAGGACCTCTACTTTTGTGCATCAGATTTTCAAATAGAATTTTCACTTGAAGAAGGTTTTTTTGCTGTATTTAAAAAACAAAATGAAAAAACATTGAAAACAATTGTATTTTATTACATTGGACCTCTGTCTCCTTATCTGTAAATTAGAGGTAGGCATGGTTAGATATAGCTACATGCTGCAAGCTCCCTTGACGTGAAGGTCAAAAGCTCTATTAGAGTATCAGATTCTAGTGTTAAGATCCAAAAATGCTTTAAAATGGAAGGGATCCTATTGAGATTAAGTATATGAACCATACTCTGCAACTGGGCATGCAGCACCATTATGTTAACTAAAAGTTATGTTAAGTTTTTCGGAATAAAGTGAGATCTTCGCTGTCTGTGTCATTTATAGACATGGCAGGGTAGGGTAGGTGGATGAATGCTAAGGGAAATTATTAAGCTAATAAGAGGAAGAGCTTACAGTTACAAGTTAACAGTAGAATTCACCTTCATTATTGTTGAATTTTAATGTTCAAACCTACAGTCAAAAAGCTAAAAACCCTAGAGAACATGACTGAATAATATGCATTCTGTTGATTATTAACATAAAATGTTAAATAATATGTAAGTTATTGTATTTAATGTGACCAGATACTGAGTGATGAAAATAGGTCATCAGAAAGTGTTGAAATTGAAGCAGTTTTAACTAATAAATAATGGATTAGTTATCCATGAAAGTCTCTTAGTTGAATGTGTCATTTCTAGGTAATGGCATATAAATGGAATGCTAAATCTTTTATTTTAAAATCAAATTACCTAGTAACTATATATTATTTTTTTTTTTGGTACCGGGGATTGAACTCAGGTCCTTGCGCTTTCACAGCAGGCCATGAAACCACTGAGCTAAATCCCCGGCCCTAGTAACTATACTTTCAAAATGTCTGGTTTCAAACACTAAACTGTTGTGTTTTACTCCTCTTCACCTAGCTGAGTTTCATAGGGCTCATGGTGGGTGTCCAGTATAAGGGTTTTTTTTTTTTCTTTTTTTCGGTATAAGCTTTTGAATGAATATGTTTTTGGTACCAGATAAAATCTTAGAAATAGGTTCTCTTGAAAGAGTAATATCTTTTTATCTGTAGTTAAAATACAATTGTGATAAATGTGTTGTTTTATACATATACAGATTGCCTTTCAGAATAAAAAATATGTAAACCTAATTGCTCTTTTTGTTTTTCCAAGATTTTTATTGAAGGATGGCCAACTGTGGCTATGTGCCCCTCAGGCAAAACAAATATGGAAATGCTTAGCTGAGAATGCAGTTTACCTTTGTGATCGCGAAGCCTGTTTTAAATGGTATTCCAAATTGATGGGGGATGAACCAGACTTAGATCCTGATATTAATAAGGACTTCTTTGAAAGTAATGTGCTTCAGCTTGATCCTTCCCTATTAACTGAAAATGGAATGAAATGTTTTGAGCGATTCTTCAAAGCTGTGAATTGTCGAGAAGGAAAACTAGTAGCGAAAAGAAGAGCCTATATGATGGATGATTTGGAATTGATAGGATTAGACTATCTTTGGAGGGTAAGTCAAAAGTAGGAACTCTATGGACATTGTATCTGATGTTATTTGAATAGGTAAGGAATTACAACTTTTCATGTAACGTACATGTGTATTCTCTTCTGATGCTTGTCCCAGGAGTCTAGGGTGATAATTGTTCATCTTTATCTGATGTCATTTGTCATTTGAGAGATTTCTTTCTATTTTGATCTCCCTCCTACCATTGATGTTTCTATTGTTTGGGTTTAGAATCCATGTGTTATTTATGTTCAGGAATGTACCAACTATATAAATCTTTCATGAGTCTCCCATGCAAGTTAATTCACCCTGTAGATCTCTTGTTTCCTTCCTTTCAATGTAAATTTTAGGTTATTATTCCATTTGAGGCTAAAATAGAGGACAAAAGAAGACTTTATTTAGAAGGGATTACGAGTGTGTCCTTTATTAGCACTGTTTAACTTAGAATATTTATAAATATCTGAGGAAGTATATTTAAGGGTAATCTCTCCATCTTTAGTGTTTATAGTATTCCTATCTTTACAAATTTGATGTGTTATACAGCATCTTATATTGTTAGGTTTCTGTGAAATAATTTTTATAAAAGCCATAGATAGACTAAGATGTTTAGTGAAGTATTTTGAGTGTTTAAAACTTCTAAAAAGTGATTTTCAATGTTTTTCAAAATAATATGGGTTGGCGTAGTATGTACTTAGGCATACCTGATAACCATGAGTTCAGTCTCTAGCACACACACAAAAATTTAATATAGTAAGTCCCCAATTTACGAACCAGTTCCATTCCAGGAGAACATAGGTCTGATTCAATAGGAAGTCCAACAAAGTCTTACACACCTTCGATGCAAATATACAATGTAAAGCATTAAAAAACCAAACACACACAAAAAATACTGTAAATAAAACTTTTTTACTTTTACATGTACCCTAAAATGGTGGATGGATACAGTACAGTACAACTGTAAATAAACTATTTTTACTGTTAAACCGTCGATGGCTGGCAGTAAAAGATGCACCCTGTTCATTTATTTTCTTCAAGTCTTCAAACAGGCTTTTTGCTTTTTCTTAAATAAGCATTAATCCTGAGTAGAACTCGATGCTGATGCTGATTCTGCATCCACGTGCAGAGAAGTTTCTCCATCTCCTCTATCACTTCACCATGCATTTTTGGGTATTTTTGTTAATTTCATTGGCATAGCAGACTTCACATGTTCCATAATCTTGTCCTTGTTCTTTAGAATTGTGCCGAGGGTTGAACAATTCATGTTTATAAGAACAAGTGTCATCTACCATCTTTTCGCCTCAGTCTGATCTCTCATTTGTTTTCACTTTTGTTTCTATGGTTATTGCTTTATGCTTCCTTTCAGTCTCTGCCACGTCACCACTGCTTTTCTTCTTGATTCCGGACATCCTGGGCTCTGATTGAGCACTGTATTACTGTACACTATCACACTGTACAATAAGCACACAGCAACACAACTGTGACAGTGACTGGCAGACATGTGAACTACTTCTGCGATCTGTTCGCAACTGTGAATGTTCATAATGCGAGGTCTGTTCGTATTTGTGAAAGTTTGCAACCTGAATGTTTATAAGTGGGGGACTTACTGTAGTTGAAACTTTAAAAAAAAATTATGTAGTCCAAAATGTCAACCTAGTTGAAGAAAGAAAGAAAGCCTTTTGTTTTTTGTTCCATATCCCAGTACTTTGACACCTTTCCCTCCCCAAGCCTCTTACAGGGATTAGCCCTAAAACACTTCCTCTGAGTCCTATAATTCTGAACATAGTTTGAAAACCACTAATTAATTAGATGAGTAATAAAGATGTGTAGGAACTGGGAGTAGAGAAGATGGCCCTTTATGCTAAGCTCTTATTTCATATAGTTTATTCCCTTCCGGGCCGGGGATTTGGCTCAGTGGTTCTACCGCCTGCCTCGCAAGCACAAGGATCCAAGTTCGATCCCCAGTACCAAAACAAAAACAAAAAAAAGTTTATTCCCTTCAAGTTCCTTGAAAACTTCACAACTTGGTTATCAGTATGTTAAAGTACAAGGTTAAATAATACTGATCAAGACATATTTTAGCCTTAGTAAAATGTCTTTCATTCTTAAATTGCTTTACTCAAAGACTTTTACATGTTGTTGTGTTCTTTCTTTTCTATTTTTCTCAGTTTTACTTGATTTTAAGTTAAGTTATAATTATGTTATTGAATAGTGTATTAAAATTAACTGAGGGATGTGGTTGAAGAATATAAATGCCCAACTGAAGCATTTCTTGAAAGGATTAACACTTTAATCCTTTTGAACCTAGGTCGTGATTCAGAGTAATGATGATATTGCCAGCAGAGCTATAGATCTCCTTAAAGAGATATATACGAACCTTGGTCCAAGGCTGCAGGTCAATCAGGTGAGGATCAATGCACATTAAAACTCGAACATGTCAGGTGCAGTGGCCTGCACCTGTAATCCCAGCTAGTTGGAAGGCTGAGGCAGGAGGATCTCAATTTTGAGGCCAGCCTGGGCAATTTAGCTGTCTCAAAAATAAGAAAAGCTATAATAAAATGGCTGGGCACTTAGTGAGGCCAGCCTGGGCAATTTAGCAAGACTGTCTCAAAAATAAGAAAAGATACAATAAAATGGCTGGGGATGTAGTCAGTAGTGGAACACTTGCCTAGCATGGGTCGAATCCCTAATATGACCAAAAAGGGAAAAAATATTAAAATGTTTAATCTGTATTTCTCTTATAAAATACCTAAGTGAATCTTTTATTTTAAATATATTGTTATATTTTGAAATGGCATACTCTACTATGAATGTTTTGATACTAGCACCTAAACTTTTAAGGTTCAGTTTTGACTAGTTTACCTTGTTTATTATAACATGATGTGTTTTCATCAATATGGACTGCTTAAATATGACTATTATTGAGAGCTACCTTTAAATTACTCGTTGCTATCTCTGGTGGGATTAATGTTACATATTTCTGGATTTCAAAGCAACTTGAAGTGTCTTCATTTGGCCCATTGCTGTAGGTGGTGATCCACGAAGACTTCATTCAGTCTTGCTTTGATCGTTTGAAAGCCTCTTATGACACATTGTGTGTTTTGGATGGTGACAAAGACAGTATTAATTGTGCAAGACAGGAAGCTGTTCGAATGGTTCGAGTATTAACTGTTTTAAGAGAATATATAAATGAATGTGACAGCGATTATCATGAAGAAAGAACCATTCTACCTATGTCAAGGTTTGTAAATAACTCATCAGCTGGTGCAAGTTCTTATTTGGTATTTTCCTGACCATTTGATTTTTTTTTTAAATGATGGGTGTGTATAGATAAAAGGACAGTGAGGATGAAATCATTCTTTTTTGAAAATGGTAGTATCTCACTCATTAAAAGGGTTATTTGTATCTTACAGAATTTTTTTTTTTTTTTTTTTGGTACTGGGGATCAAACTCGGGACCTTGGACTTGCAAGGCAGGCAGAGGAACCACTTACAGAATCTTGTAATAGTTGACATTTCTCCCTCCAGGATCTGATTAAAATTTCGGTTTTTTTGGCAAGTCATTCTTATTATGTCCAGTTTTCTCTCCTTTTTATTTTTTGCCATTGACTTTGTGTCACAGTGATACTCTACAGTTTAAGTGTTTTTATTCTGATGTCATTCATTCACACTGTTAATAATAGTCAGATCAGAGAGTACTATTAATTGGAAAGAACTCTTAAAAGCTGCCTTAACAGATATTTTCAAATGGTCTAGTAACATTTTTCGTAAGGTTATACTGTTGAGTAATTCAAATGACATTTATAGTTTAGAGATGTTTATAGAAAGTGCCATCAGTTTTGGGGTTTTTTAAAGTTCTATTTGTTAACAATGAAATTATATAAAATTGCTCCTCATATGATTTCTATTTTGTATCTTACCCAAAAGAACTTAAAATACCATCACAAATAATAGCTTTGTGATTTTTTTTTTATATTAAGAATTTTTCAGAAAACAGTATCAGATTGGTATATGTTCCCCAGGTAAAGTTTGTCTTTAAAATTTACAGACAGTGTTTGTGATTTGGGCTTGTGTGGCATAAAAATTAGCAAAGTGATACATCTCTGTCTTAATTTCTTACAAATAGATAACCTTTTTCTGCAGTCACAGATACAAAAGTAATAATGGAATGTGATGGGCCGAGGATGTAGCTCAGCAGAACAGCGCCTGCCTGGCAAGCGCAAGGTCCTGAGTTTGATCTCTAGTATGAAAAAAATAAATGGAATGTGATCATTTTGTTCTGAGGCTTATTTGTAATACTTACAGTTTTTGAAAGGAGCAATTTTAATTTTCAGGATACTATTATGTATCTTTAATTCACTTCTTATTTAATAAAAAATACTCAGTGTTAAATTCCAAGATTTGAAAGTGCTAAATTGATGTTTTTTTCTCCCCCACCAGAGCTTTCCGCGGTAAACACCTCTCTTTTATAGTTCGATTTCCAAACCAGGGCAGACAGGTAGATGACTTGGAAGTATGGTCTCATACAAATGATACAATTGGTTCAGTTCGACGATGTATTCTTAACCGCATTAAAGCCAATGTTGCCCATACAAAAATTGAGCTGTTTGTGGGTGGAGAGTTGATAGATCCTGGGGATGATAGAAAGCTGATTGGACAACTAAACCTGAAAGATAAATCGGTAAGTATTTATAGTTATTGGACTTCTTTTTTTTTTAGTACCGGGGATCGAACCTCAGGACTTTGTGCTTGCGAGGCAGGTGCCAGAACCACTGAGCTAAATCCCCGTCCCGTTACTGGACTTTTTAAGAGAAACAAACCTGAGACTATTTCATTTATTCAGTAAATGCCAATTATTTGATATGTGTTAAGGTGTTTGGGTTATAACACTAATGGGCATCATGGCACCCATGGTATGTCAGAATAAAGGATTTAGAACTCTGAGTGGCTATATGAGACAAATCTGAGTGGTTATATGAAACAGTACTTCTAAAATATATTTATGAAAGTATAGCATTTGGGAGGGGTTTCTGTTGGTATGGGTATGTTACTAGGTTCTAAGTTCTGATTCATTTATTTTTCCTTGACTTTGATACTAACATGGTCTGTCGTTTTCAGCTAATTACAGCCAAACTTACACAGATCAGTTCCAATATGCCTTCAAGCCCTGATAGCTCGTCTGATTCTTCAACTGGATCTCCTGGAAACCATGGTAATCATTATAGTGATGGTCCTAATCCTGAAGTGGAAAGCTGTTTACCTGGAGTGGTGAGTAGATTGTGTTGTGAACATATATATGCAAGGCATTAATAAAAGTATATAGGGGCCAGGGATTTAGCTCAGTGGTTCCGCCACCTGCCTTGAAAGCATAAGGTCCCAAGTTTGATCCCCTGGTATCCCCCCCCCAAAAAAAAACAAGTATAATTACACAGTTAACCATCACCTTCAGAAGGGATCCCTCTGAAAGGTGATTGTAACTTAGTTGAAATTTAAAACTTTTTCTGTAGATACAGTGTAGCTGTGTTTATGTAGAATTAATCAATTAGAGCTTAATTTATAGCACTTGAATATATCAATTTAGAAAAATACCACTTTTTAAAATTTGTATCATATAATGGATCCTTCCTTTAACACTATTTAATGTAGGTTGCAGAGTGTGGTGGCACACACTTGTAGCACTCTAGACATGGGGCAGAATGATCACAAGTTCAAGGTCAGTCTGGACTACATAGTGAGATCCTGTCTCAAAAACAAAACAAAACAAAAATTTATGTTGGGAAATATCTGTGACTTTTCTAAGGTTTGTCAGTAAGATAGCTTGTGTCGAATGAATCTGTGACTCCTCCCTTTCTTGCCCTCTCTTCTCACCTCTCCTCACAAAAATTTTAATGGCTACACTACCAGCCACTCTAGTGTGGGAAGGACTCGGCTCCCTGCACTAGTTGGATTGGGAACTTAGTAGTGGCCATGGGAGCTTTTTGTATGTCTGGAGTATAACTTGTATGTATGAGAGAAATAATTTAATAGAACAGTAGAGAACGATCACAGAGAAGTAACTAGAGGTGTCTTGGATGATGTGTTCATTCTGCATCATGAAGGATTTGTAAAAATGAGATGATGGGGAAGGCCAACCATTTCAGAGAGTTGAAATAACATAAGAGAGTATGTAAATTAACAAAATGTATTTGAGGGACCTTTTTTGTGATAATTTACAGGTGATCATTTTGTGTATTTTGTATTCTAGATAATGTCACTGCATCCCAGATACATCTCTTTCCTTTGGCAAGTTGCAGACTTAGGTAGCAGCCTAAATATGCCACCTCTTAGAGATGGAGCAAGAGTGCTTATGAAACTTATGCCACCAGGTAAGAATTTTTACCTACTCACAGAGGAATATATTGGCAAATACTTTTTCTAAATAAAGTATGTAACGAGGATTGGCAGACTACAGCCCATAGGTCAAATCTAGCTGAACACCTGTTTTCCGTTTTTTTGTTTGGTTTTGTTTTTGTTTTTTTTTAGTACCAGGGTTTGAACTTGGGTCCTTGTGCTCGCACAGCAGGTGGCGAAACCACTGAGCTAAATCCCTGGCCTCAACACCGGTTTTCTACACTATCCAAGCCCAACACCTAAGGATGGTTTCTGAAATTTTTAAGTGACAAAAAAAAAAAAGAGAGACTATTTTGTGACACATGAAAATTACAGAAATTTAAATTTTAGGGGCCAGGAATTTAGCTCAGTGGTTCCACTGCCTGCCTCGCAAGGTCCTGAGTTCAATCCCTGGTACAAAACAATTTTTATAGTGTCTGTAATCTTAAGTTTTATTGGTATCCAGCCATTTATTCATTGTGTACCACTTTTGTCTTGTAACACGAGAGCTCAGTAGTTGTGGCAGAGATTGTCTAGCCCACAAACTTAAAATACTTAAGTCTTTGGCCCTTTACAGAAAATATTTGCCTATACCTATCCTATAATTTGGATCATGTATCAGCTATAGCATTCTTTTTATTCCTTAGAAATGACCACTTTCAACCTTAGCTTTTATTCTTATATATGTATATACAGTTATATCTGTAAACAGTTATTTTTCACTTTTAGATGTATACTGCTTTTCTACTGTGTAGGTGAAAGTAACCTATTCCCACATCTGCTCTTTGCTTAAATCTGTATTGAACATTTACATTTTCAAGATAGTGAAAAGTAGTTCTCTAGATTTCTGATAGTTTTTATCCTGGGTTTAATAATGTCTCCTTTTTTATTTTCTTTATACCTATCTTCTCTTGAGACAGGGTCTCACTGTGTAGTTTAGGGTGGCCTTGAACTCACTAGCCCAGGCTGGCTTCAAACTCAGGGTGATCCTCCTCCCTCAGCCTCCTGAGTGCTGGGATTACAGGCATGGGCCACCACACCTGCCCAGCTATAAGCCTATCTTTTATCCTTCCCACATGCCTTATAATAACTTCTCAAAAATTTTTCCATTATTTTGAACATTTTATAGTCCATCGCCTCCATTGTTATCCTGAAACTCTTCCTCTTCTCCTGGTGGTTGTCTGCCACACAGTTCTCATTTGGGAACTTTCTGTAAGTTTCCTGTATTGGCACTATATTTTCTGGTGAATGTTGGGGCATTCTTGAGGTGCTGTCTTATTTTGTTGAAGTACACCTTCCTGTAGGTAGGTAGAAAGCCTGTGTGGAAGGTGTATGATTTTGAGACCTAGCTTCCTGAAACAGCCAAATCCTCACATTTGAGTTGTAGTTTGGGTGTAGAATTCTAGGTTGAAAATTTATTCTTCCTACCTCATGGTGTTGCTGGTAGATGACCAGACATCTTAGTTTCTGTTCCTGTATATGTAATATTTGTTTTTGAAAAAAAATTTTTTAATCCTTTAGCTTCGAAAGTTCATGATATGTCTTGGTGGAGTTAGGTCTCCTTTGTGGTAGATGTTCAGTGAGTCTGGGCATTGAGGGCAAGGGGGGTTAGATTTTTGTTGGGGTTATGCTTTTTTGTATGCCTTTCAAAGGTCTTGAATTTTGTGTTGAATCTACTAGGTCTAATTTAACTTTCTCATTTTGGGGGGGGTACTGGGGATCGAACTCAGGACCTTGCGCTTGCAAGGCAGGCGTGGTGCCACTGAGCTAAATCCCTGGCCCCTAATTTAACTTTCTCTTTGTCTCATTAACTTTATCCCACCTTGACAGTGATTTCCTTAAATTGTTACAGCTCTTCTATTGACTTTTACCCTCATTCATTCTAGTATAAAATTTTTTAGACCTTGTTCATAGATATTTTTTTTTTGGTTCCAGGGATCAAACTCAGGTCCTTACGCTTTCGAGGCAGGCTGCGGAACCATTAAGCTAAATCCCCAGCCCTAGAATTTTTTTTTAATCATACTAGTTTTGTCATTTTATTGTGATTATGGCTTAAATCAGGTTTTAAAGTTCTTCATACCTTTTACATCTGTTAACTGCCATTCTACTATAAGATAGTGCTTTGTTTTCTCTCTAGTTATGTGTTCTCACTTTTTCTGTGTTTTGGGTTTTTTGGGGTTTTTTGGTACTGGTGATCAAACTGAGGGGAGATTGCTCTGTCACTGAGCCATCTCCCCAGCCCTTTTTAAAAGAAAAAAAATTATTTTGAAACAGTCTTAATTGGCCAGGCTGGACTCAGACTTGTGATTCTACTGCCTTGGCCTTCCTCAGTGCTGGGATTACAGGGGAGCACCACTGCACCAGCTGTATTCTCTCTCACTCTTTACCCATGGGTTATTTCATTCATTGAGTCATGACCAATCTGTTTGGAAGAGATTGGTAACATGAAACTGTTTATATAGGCTTTTGATTTCATCTGTATCTTACCCAGGTGGTTGTTTCTAAGGACTTTTCTGTGATTGAGATGCTGATTTTTAGGCGCCCCTTTTCCATCTTCCTTGTTTTTTTAATGTCCTTCTGAGTTTATATATCTTCATGTTCATTCTCATTTTAATAGAGTTTAGGGTTACATTGCCATGACAGTTCAATATATTTAATTGACCCAGGTAATTTTTAAAACTGTCTTGGGCTTCTCTTCTATTACCATCTTTTTCTGAAGTAAACATCTTGTTAACCTTTCTTTTCTGATTCCTGTGGGACAGAATCATTTTACATGAATATCTCAGTTAAGTCGTCTCATTTTATTTGATCTTGATCTGTTGTATTGTTTAGAGTTTGTATGTTTCATTCACTTGTATCTCAGTTACAGTTGTTGCTTTATATATGCAGATTGAACCATTACAAGATTTTAAATCCACTACGGAATCTTTGATCTTGTGATTTGAGTTTAATACCACCAGGTGGCAAAAGTGAGCTCTTCCTTTAAAAAAAAAGAACATCAGGCAGGAAATTTCAGAGGGTGTTTTTTTTCAGATTTTATACAAAGTATAGTATGTACCTAAATTTGGAAAAGCCAGTAATGATTCTTAGTACAGTAGAAAAATTATTATAGGCTTTGGACTTAAGGGAGCTTGAGTTCTAATCCTGCTTCTAGTTGCTACTATGTAGCCTTAGTTATACTGAGTATTTCTGAGCTTCCTTATCAGGGTAATAATAACTTTCTCATAGAATTATGGGAATTAAATGAGGTGAAGTATGAGAAATCTTTACCCTGGTGACTGGTGCTTAGGGTTTAACAAATGTTAACCCACTCTGTCACTGTGATTGTTATACACACACACCACAAAATTGTATAAGAAAAACAGGTGTGGTGGTGCGCACCTGTGGTCCCCACTACCCAGGAACTGAGCCAGGAGGATCTCTTGAGCCCAGGAGTTCAACAACGGCCCAGGCAACATAGCAAGAGGCCTGCTTCAGAGAGAGAGAGAGAAGTGGCTTTAAATTTTGTTTCTGAGTGTAGTAAAGTAGCTGTGGAACATTTAGACAATTGTTTAATGTTTGTGCATAAATGTATATAACTTACACTAGACTTAAAGCTCCTGTGTCCTTTCTCTACATGCAGCTGGGAAACAAGAGTCTTGTTCAATATTGAGCAAGTATATATTGATTTTCAAAACAAAGTATATATTGCTTTATGAAACAGAATGTTTTGCAAGACCAGAAATAGCCTAAATTATAATTACCCCTGGATGATAGGATTATGGGTGGTTTAAATTTTTCTCTTATCTTTCATACTTTATGGTAAAATGAGCATATATGGGCCAAAAATCATTTATATGCACAAATGCAAGAACTGGAATGGTGGCTAAATGACATTTGGTTCAGGCTCCTCAGCTAAATGGACTATAATCCAAGACCATTAAATGATTTGCTTAGAATTCACTGCTACCTTTTCTTAAACTCTTCTTTTCTCCTATACCCTTTTAGTGCCATCCTCCATTCAGAATATTTTGAAACCAAGCAAGATACATTCAAATAAAGGAATTGATTTCTCTTTAGGGAGTAATTTGGCAATGTATGTCAAGATTGGACTTTTTAGGTCCTAGTTCTTTGTGCTTACTAGATTTTCATGATGAAAATAAGATTTAGCTGCTAGGATCTTTAATATAAAAAAAGTGTAGGGGGTGTCTAAATGCTGGGGAAGAGGAATTAAATTGGCAGGATGACAATGTCATTTTAATCATCAGTAAAAGTCATGGAGGAGATGGCTACTGACATGAAGATATTCACAAGTATTTTATTATAAATACTTTATATGACTGCTATCTCCAGGCCTATAAAATTAGTTTATCCTGGGGCCGGGGATTTAGCTCGATGGTGCCTCCACCTGCCTCGCAAGTGCAAGGTCCCGTGTTGGATCCCCTCTTCCAAAAATAATAATAATACAACTCAGTTCTGCTTACTTTGACATAAACGTTATGGACTATATTTTCTTTGTTTGCTTTTTAGGGTTCAATTTCTTGGATACTAGTTTCAGTGAAGCAAGCTAGTTAATATAGTGTCAGGGATTCAAAAGAGAGAAATTGGAAGAACTTGTAATTTGTTTGTTGTTATTTTCAATGAGAGCTACTTGGTTTCTAAGTGTATTTTTTTTTTTTCAGTCTCCCAGGGTGGAGGATGGTATGTTGACAGGAGGCCTGCATGTGGGAAACTGCTCCCCTTGTGCTTAGGCTGACTGAGTAGGAGGCCCTGGTTGCTTCTTTTTTAAATCAATCCAGGTCTCATTATATCTTACAAAGTTTGGGCTTAAAACTCAAATTGTTATTTCATTTTAAAGTAGTCTTAAAAAAAAATCTTAAAAATATCAGAAGTGAAATATTATGAACAAATGAATTATTATGTTTTCTTTCCAACCATGTCTCTCTTTCAGATAGCACAACAATAGAAAAATTAAGAGCTATTTGTTTAGACCATGCCAAACTTGGAGAAAGCAGCCTTAGCCCATCTCTTGACTCGCTTTTCTTTGGTCCTTCAGCCTCACAAGTGCTATACCTAACAGAGGTTGGTTTTTCGCCTTTTGAGTTTATTCCATGCTTTTAAAATTTGATCTTTTATGTGTTTATGTGAAGAACATGGATAAAATTGTAATGAGATGGTTTTAAATGATCTCGAATTTTTTAGCAGTGATGCTAGGGCAAAATAGAAGTTAATTACGTTACTTTTGGGCATGTTGGTGCAGGCCAGTAATCCCAGAACTTGGGAAACTGAGGCAGGAGAAGTGCCAGGAGTTCGAGGCCAGCCTGGACTACATAGCAAGTTCAAGGCCAGCCTGAACTATACAGCGAGATACAAAAAAAAAATTACTTTTTAAAGACCTTTTAATACAGTACTTCCTCCCTCCTTTTTTTCTTCCAGGTAGTCTATGCCTTGTTAATGCCTGCTGGTGCACCTCTGGCAGATGATTCCTCTGATTTTCAGTTTCACTTCTTGAAAAGTGGTGGCCTACCCCTTGTCCTGAGTATGCTAACCAGAAATAACTTCCTACCAAATGCAGATATGGAAACTCGAAGGGGTGCCTACCTCAATGCTCTTAAAATAGCCAAACTGTTCCTAACTGCCATTGGCTATGGCCACGTTCGGGCCGTGGCAGAAGCTTGTCAGCCAGGTGTAGAAGGCGTGAATCCCATGACACCGGTAATGCAGACTTTCAAACAGTCTTTTTTATGCTAAGTAACTTTTAAGGTTAAGCTTCTCAGCAACTCTTTCAGTGTAGAGTTCAAGGTTGGCTGAAAATGTTGAAAGATCCTTTCTAGGGAGTACCTTGTTTTAGTTTTCCTTTATTAAAAGTGAAAATGCTGCTGGGAGTGGTGGTGCAAGCCTGTAATTCCAGTACTTGAGAGGCTGAGGCAGGGTTGCTGTGAGTTTAAGGCCAGCCTGAACTACAAAGTGAGACACACGCGCACACACACACACCCCCACACCCCCACCCAAGTGGTAGTCTTGCTAAGTTACTGATAGAAGATGAAAGTTTCAGGGCTGGCGATTTTCCCCTTTAGAAATGACTTAGGTCTTAATTGAAGGAGATTGGAATGTTGATAAAATAATTGGTGAAATAGTTATGGATAAAAATTATATATGCAGGATTTGCCTGAAAACAATCTTGAGATGGCTCTTTAATCAGATTGAAATTGAATTTCATTGATGGGCTGGGGATTTAGCTCAGTGGTTTCACCGCCTGTTGCGAAATTGAATTTCATTGAGATGAGGGCTCTAGTTAAATAGTTTTATAGCCAGGCCCAGTGGCATACCCCTGTAATCCTAACTACTCAGGAGGCTAAAGCAGAAAGAAGAATTGCAAGTTCAAGCCCAGTCTAGGCAACTTAGACCCTGTCTCAAAATCTAAAATTTTTAAACAAGACCAGGGATATAGTTTGATGTGAAAGCCCTGGGGACATGAAGGTGTGTAAAAATGACTTCTTTTATATATATTTTTTTAATCGAGGGTCCATTTTGTTAGGATTTTTAAAATTTGTTTGTTTATGAGACATGGTCTCACTATGTAGTTCAGGCTGGCCTTGAACTCACTGTGTAGTCCAGGCTGGCCTCGAACTTACAGCAATCCTTGCTGCAGCCTCCCAAGTGCCGGGATTACAGCCCTGTGCTACCACACTTGTCTGTATTAGATTTTTTTAAAAGGTGGCTTCTTGTTAAGATAAAAAGAGATTTTATTCATGATCCCTGACACAGGTGCAGTGCTTAGTGAAATACACAAAAAATAATCCTGGCAGCCCTGTTTTACCTTCCCTGCAGTGCTTAGTGACTGTGGATGGCGAGGTACATAATAGCTTCTAGTCAGAAGGAGCTCACAGTCAGTAGGAAACTAAATGTAAAATTAGTAATACAGTATTGGAATATCTTTATCTGTTGTTTCTCATAAACTTAAAATCTTGCTTGTATTAAATAAAAACACCACTACCTTTCTTATGTTAGCCCTGTTCTTTTTTATTTTTTTCCTTTTCAAAGCAGAACTTGATGGGGAATATAAGCAGGATCTTCTCAGGGACACGTATGTAAAAGATGTGCAATACTTTAGCAAGTCTCTAGGTAAAGTTGAACCCAGTCTATTCAGTTTATCATTTATTCCTTGCAAGTTAAGCTAAGCCCAGAGGTAGAGACACAAGTTGGATTGATCTAGGATGGGGGGTTGAGAAAGACACATGACACTCCACTGCACAAGATACTTACTAATATAAAATGCTTAACTTTTTCCAGGTCAATCAAGTTACTCATGATCAAGCAGTGGTGCTACAAAGTGCCCTTCAGAGCATTCCTAACCCGTCATCTGAGTGTATGCTTAGAAATGTGTCAGTTCGTCTTGCTCAGCAGATATCTGATGAGGTTAGTTTTACGAGTTTTATAGATGTACACAGATATAAAATGTTTTATGTTATATTGTAAAGGTTATTATAAGGACAGGTTTAATTTGTCTCAACTCCTTTTACTATCTCAGCCTAAATAGAGTTCCCTTAACATCAGTTTAATTTATTAGCACTACCACTTTGTGGTTTGTTTTTTGTTTTTTTTGTTTTTTGGTACCTGGGATCGAACTCAGGATCTTGTGCTTGCGAGGCAGGCAGCGGAACCACTGAGCCAAATCCCCGGCCCACCACTTTGTTTTTCATCAACTGTATGTATAATAATCAGCATCCTTCATCTGAAATACAAAGTTCAGTGAATTCTGACAAATCACATGTGAAACCACTGCACAAAATTTTTTTTTTTTTGGTGGTTCTGCCACTCAAACCCAGGGCCTTTGCACATGGAACCCTAAGTTGCAGAATATTTCTATCACTTTTTCCTTATGCCCCATTGCAGTCTATTCTTCCCTCCAGCTCCAGGTAACTGGATCTTGCTGTCCCTGTAGAGGAATTTGCATTTTCTAGAATTTTATACAGATGGATCATACTGTGTGTTCTTTTGTGTCTGACTTCTTTCACTAAGAATAATGACCTAGGAGCGGTGATTTATTTAGCTCAGTGGTTCCACTGCCTGCCTTGCAAGCGCAAGGTCCCGAGTTTGATCCCTGGTACCCTCCCAAAAAGGAATAATGACCTAGAGAATTACCCATGTGGGTATCAGTTCATTCCTTTTTATTGCTGAATAGTGTCCCATTATGTTCCCCATTTTGGGGGGGATGGTACCGGGGATCGAACTTGGGACCTTCCGCTTGCAGGGCAGGTGATGGAACCACTGAGCTAAATCCCCGACTCCCCTAGTGTCCCATTATGAATAGTCTTTAATTTTGTTCCTCTGTATACTTAGATTATTCCTCCTTTCCGTTGAGAATAAAGCTGCTGTGAACATTTTATACATGTGTTTGTGTTGACATAGGATTTCATTTCTCTTGGTTAGGAAACAAAGAGTGGAATGGTTGTTGTGTTTGTAGCCCTAAAAAATGTAATGTATGAAAATAGTGCATGGCCAGGTACTAACTTGGAGAGCATACTTTGTGGTATTGCTGTTTAAGCAAAAAGAAAAGCGGGGGGGGGGGGGGGACAACAAGGGCAACTTGGGAACCTAAAAAGACAAGAGTACTTTTTTTTTTACAAGAAGAAACATTTTAATTTTTCTAGTCATTATTCCACTCTAATATTCTATCAACATTTTTAATTACTCATCTTACAGGCTTCAAGATACATGCCTGATATTTGTGTGATTAGAGCGATACAGAAAATTATCTGGTCATCAGGATGTGGGGCATTACAGCTAGTTTTTAGCCCAAATGAAGAAATCACTAAAATTTATGAGAAGGTAAGCATTGTGACAAATATATTTCTTTTTCAATAAGTGTTGCTTAATTGTGTTATGTGGCTAACTATGCTTACTGCTATCTTTAAATATTCAACCACACATCTATATGTTTGAAAATTAAATTTTTTTTTTTCGGTACTGGGATCAAACTCAGGACCTTGTGCTTGCGAGCCAGGCACAATGCCACTGGGCTAAATCCCCAACCCAGTTGAAAATTAATTGGTAGCTATACTTATACTTCGGAATGTAGTAAAATTTTACTTTGATTTTTTGTTTTTGAGACAGGGTTTTAACATGTAGTTCATACTGACCCTGAATTCACTTTGTAGCCCAGGGTAGCCTTGAACTTGGAGAGATCCTCCTGCCTCAGCCTCCCAAGTGCTGGGATTATAGGCATGTGCCACCACGCCCAGCTAAAATTTTACTTTGAGCCAGACAGGAGGATCACCATGAGTTGAGGACCAGCAAATTACTTAAAAATCTTCCATGAGGCTTTTTTTTTTTTCTTTTGAGACAAAGTCTCATGTATTTCAGGCTGGCCTCAAACTCATGGTATCCCATCATATCTGTCTGGTACAGTCTTGGGATTCATTCAGCAAATAATTGAATGCCTATTCTGTGCCAACCATGTGCTATTATAGTTATTACTTTTTAATGAGTAAAGTCACATTGGAATATTTTAGGCTTTATGAATCTTTCAAAGCCTTCCTGAACTATTGTCCAAGACAGTTGATCTTGATAAATAGACTTAGTAGACAAGCTAGATAATGAAATTAGTCAAAAGTACCTTTAGGTACTAGAGTGGTTCTTTCAGATTTTTTTCTGAGACAGGGTCTTGCTATGTAGTTCAGGCTGGGTTAAACTCACTCTGTAGCCCGGGCTGGGCTCAATCCTCCTGCCTCAGCCTCCCAAGTGCTGGGAATCTAGGCATGCACCACCACACCTGGCTCTGGAGTGTTTCTTGGGAAAGGAATGGTCATTCGTACAGAAGTACACAACTCAGAGGGTCTCTAGGAGCATGAAGGAGAAAGAAGTCGATGGTATGCTCAATGTGCTCTTTCAGCCCTTTCTGGAATATAGCAAAATTCTGGAGTTAGACTTCATTTTCTATTATAGTTGTTTCCACACTATTTCAGAGAGGCCTGAAGAATTACAGGTAAGGCAATTGAGGCTATGTGGTTTGCACTAACTTAAAGTCACCTGAGATAATTTTTCTTAAATGCTTTTCTTGGTAATATGTTTCCAATTATAATTTTACAGACCAATGCAGGCAATGAGCTGGACTTGGAAGATGAACAAGTCTGCTGTGAAGCGTTGGAAGTGATGACATTGTGTTTTGCTTTGATTCCAACAGCCTTGGATGCTCTCAGTAAAGAAAAGGCTTGGCAGACATTCATTATTGACTTACTGTTGCACTGTCACAGCAAGTAAGCATCTTTTTTAATTTTAAGAAACAATCTTAGGGCTGGGGATTTAGCTCAGTGGTTCCAAGGCCTGCCTCACAAGTGCAAGGTCCCGAGTTCAATTCCCTGTACCAAAAAAGAAAAAAAAAACTTAATCTTATTTTTGTAAGGAGAAATTAATTGATTTATGCTTCCACAATGGATCTCATAAATCACATAATTATTCTCTATCACATTGGTGTTGAGGAAAATTTTAACAGTGTTATGCTTAACCTAAATTTGATTTTAGGTTTTGTAAAATGCTAACATTATTTCTCCAAAGTGGTAAGTTTTCTACTTGTAAAATTGTGTCACCTAGGATGTATATGTATTCCCATTTTTTAAAAATCTGAGTTAAAAGATTTAACTAAGACATTGGCTTCTGTATTAGATTCCTAGATTCCAGGTTTTCTTGAGTCTAATTTGATGTGAGAGTTATGAGACCGTTACTGTAGAAACTTGCATTTTATACTAGAATAGAGATCAATTATAAAGCCTTTGTTTTCATTTCAAGAGCAATTAATCAGCGACAGTGATTTTGTTTAAAGATTCTTTTTGTGCAAGTCAGATTTGTAGAAAATGTTGGTTTCTGTCCTTATATGTCAATCTGACCTTCATATTTACTTTTAACTTTTTAGACTGATTAGTGTTACTGTTATATGTAATTAATCTGTTGTATATGCATTGTTTTTTTTAAAAAAGTTTGCCGTATCTTATCACATGCCATTCAACAATAAAAATTGGTGAAAGTTTAGTGTAAAGTCAAAATAAGCAATTGGCTGAAATGAAGTCTAATGATAAAGCACGCTTTCAGAATGTACATAGTTAGCTGATCATGTGGCTTAAGTTTGTAATCCTAGCTACTTGGAAGGTTGAAGCAGGAGGATTGCAAGTTCAATCCTGGCCAACTTAGTGATTTAGTGAGACCTTATGTCAGAATTTTTTATTTATATGTAAGGGGGGCGGGTATTTAAGGCTGGGAATGTAGCTCAGTGCAAAGGTGCAATAGGTTCAACTTGCCCACCACCAAAGGTGTTCGGAAGTGATGTAGTGGAGTCTCAAGTAGGAGTATTTGCTATTTTAAGTTCCTTGGGTAATTTCTTTGAAGGCATCCAGCATAGCCTATTCAGAAGCTCCTTTTAACAAGGATCCTGGAAATGGGGGGGTGCCTCCTTTAGGAGACCTTCTCATGGTTGGATAGCTATGTATGTTCAAGAGAGAGATTGAGTGAGTCTAATTTGATTTAATGCATTTGGATGGTGAAGAGAGGGAAGATGATTGTCCAATGGTATTTCAACCTGCAATAGCAAATTCTTACTCTGTGTTGATTTTTTAAATCCTTAAAATTAGGAACATGTTTTACTTCTTAGGCTAATAAGAAAGAACTTGGTTTAGCAGATTTTCTGCCCTCTAGCATTTATAAATATTCCCTTATATAAATTAGAACTATTTTTTGCCCCTCTTGCCTAAAACATGCACATAATAAGGAAAAGTGCTATAGATAGCACTTCATCTCATGTCTGTGTTTTGTCTGCAGTAAGAAAGGAAATGTTCTTAAAGTTAGGGGTTTTGTGAGCTCTAGGTATCTGATTTGTTCCTTATTACAGGTTGAGTGTCCCTTAGCCGTAGTGCTTTGGGACCAGAAATGTTTCAGATTTTGAGATCTGTCAGATTGTGGAATATTTGCATAGACTTTACTGTTTAAGCATCCCTAATCCAAAAGTCTTAACTGTTCCAAAATCTGAAACTTTTTGAAAAAATAGCTTTATTTATGATTCTCAAATTATACTGTAGATATAAAATTCCTTATTTCAAGATCATAAAAATTTGGCAGCAACTTTGGCGTTAACTTTCTAAAATCTGCATCCCTTTATACATCTGGTCCCAAGCATTTCAAATATAGCCTTGTGAACCTACACACACAAATATCTCAGTTTATACTTGAATAGTCATATTACAACCAATATGGTATTTACAAAGCATTTTTCACTTAATTTCTATACCAACTTAAGAAAAAATAGACTTTGGGCTGAGAGTATAGTGCAGTGTTAGAGTGGGTGCTTAGCATGCACAGGCCCCTGTGTTCAACTCCCACTGTGCTGGAGGGTGAGCTCTACTGATGAAGCTGAAACTGTTGAAATTAACTGACAAGTTCATAGCCTTGTAGAATGCTAAAACTAAGACTCAAACAAGGTTTGCTGCCTGTTGAACCTTGACTTTCTGGCAAATATGTGCATCCCCACTATGTGCTTGGCAGTTAAAAATCCAAAGTCAGGCTGGGGGTGTAGCTCAGTGCAAGGCACTGTCTGATAAGGAACTTTGAGACAGAACTTGGTGCCTTAAAAGTAAAGTATTTTGGGAATTGGGAGACAAGTAGGTTACTTTTTATCTGGCAGGAGTGAAAGTTTTATGTAGGATGTAGCATGTGAGTTGATGTTCGAGTAGGGTTTAAATGTGCATAATAATGTAACATGGGGTGCTAGAGGTGTAGGGCACTTGCCTAGCATACATAAAGCCCTGAGTTCCATCCCCCAGCACCACCAGAAAATAAAAAGGAAAGAGAAATATAGCCAGTATTCTCCCTCCCTCACCCTCACTGCTTTCCTCCTCTCATACTGCCCTAGCTAAGCAACCAAAACCCATTGCCTGGACAGCTACAGTGTCTGTTACCTTCGTACTCCTGGTGTTGTATCCCCCTAACCTGTTAACCACACTGCAGGCAGAGTGATCTGTACAAAACATGAATCTGTTGCTTTCCTGCTTAAAATCTTTCTAGGCCTTCCCATTACCTTTGAATTAAATCCAAACATTTAAATTTGCCTTATAAGCACTCCACAATTTGACCCCTACATCTACTCATAAGTTTCAATTTAAATGCCTTGTTTTCCAGTAACTTTTCCTTATCCCTAGACTAGCAAGGTTCCTAGATCTCTGTTAAATTCTTCCACGTCATAACACTGATAAATAAGTCACAGTGTCTGAATTCCTTTAGGCATGTTTTTCTGGTGCTTTGTAGCCTTCCTGCTTAACTCACTTATGCTACCTCTGTGGTCCACAAAGTCATTTGACTTGGCCACTCCTGGGAACTACTTTCAGAGCTGAGCCAAGGACTCTGATATGATATGTAGAGGAGTAAAGATAACCCTGTAAAGAGCTTAGTGAGAGTCAGTTTGACAGAAGGCCTGTAACGCTGAGATCCAAGTAATACTAGATTTCAGCAAGGTGGGCAATCTCATTTATTTGGTAAATGTTTATCAAGTACTTTATATCAGGTGGGGCAGGGGTCAGTGGAGTTCATTTTTATCCAGAGTAGTCAAAGAAAGCTTCTCAGGTAAGATGACCTTCAAATGATACGCTCTGTGTTTACTGTGTGGAATGTAGGTTCTAGGGCAGTGATGGCAAACCTTTTAGAGACAAGTGCCCAAACCGCAACCCAAAACCTACTTACTTATCAGAAAGTGTCAACACTGCACTTAAACCTGAATACTGAAGTTTTAGTTTTAAAAAATTCATGCATTAATATCTTTTGTCTTAAAAACAAGTAACACTTTTGTGCCAATGGTTTCCCACCACTGCTCTAAAGTATTAAGAAAAGCAGCTAAGAGCCAGAGATTTAGCTCAGTGGTTCCGCCGCCTGCCTTGCAAGCGTAAGGACCCGAGTTTGATCCCCTGTACCAAGAAAAGAAAAGCAGCTGAACTATTCCATTGATCCAAATAAAAGATGACAATGGTTAAAACTGGCAGTAGCAGGAGTGATTAAAAAATGATCAGGTTCTGGACATATTGTAAAGAAAGACAAAAAATGTGTTTCTATGAAGCAGTGTGGAAATGATATGCTTAGGTATGTTTTGTGAGGAACTGACAAGCAACAACCAACTCTGCATAGATTCCCCAATTTTATTTGGGCTATGCACCCTACTTGTTTAAAAGCAGGAGTAACCTATACCTTTAAAAATCTGGTAAAATTATCTTCTCCCCAGAAAATTAGGTACTTCTGACTTTATTTAACTTAGGTTCCCCTAAAACACTCCCCACAAAAATTTTAGGAGCTTAATGTATGCCGTCGAGTCCTTTATGATTGAGTTGTAGAGGAAGTCCTGAGCTCTTTAGCAGGTAGCACAAAGACAAGTTTGTGATATCTGCAAGATACACAAATACTTTGTTGGCAGATCTTTGTTGAGTCTCTTCCACGTGTCAGACATTGTTCTAGGTGCTTAGAATTCTGGCGTCAGCACAACAAAGCTCCCACACTGGGAGAGCTTACTTTCTAATGGAGACAGACCGTCATCCTGTAAAAGAAAAAAAATAGTATTCATGTATTTGGTAACTGGTTCTTGAGCACAAATTTTATGCCAAATACTCTTCTAGGTTCTAGAGGCATAGTGGGAAGGAGAGGATGTCATCTTCCCCTTGGAATATTTATTCTAGTGAGATTTATATAGTATTTAATTGATTTTTTAAATCTATAATGATCAGGTAAAATTCCCAGTATTGAGACCAGAGATCATGGAGAAGGAAATACTGAATAATACAGTGGTTCTTAAATCTTTGGTACAATCAGAATTATGTAAAAGGTTTTTTATTGGGCCCCACACCTAGAATTTGATTTCAGAGGTTTGGGATGGAGCCTGAGAATTGGCTTTTCTCTAACAAGTTCGCAGGTGATTCTGTTATTGCTGAGCTGAGGACCATGCTTTCAGAATCACTCATAATACAAAGAACCACCTGCAAAAAATACCCTTACTCTGATTGCAAGAGAATTCCCACAGAGCTGTTGCTCCAAAGCACAATTGAATTAAAGTTCTGTGGAAGGCTGAAAGATTGCATAAGACTTACTGTAAAGCACTTAATCTCAAGTAGCATTTCCAGCCTGTTTGGAGAGAGCATGTCAGAAGGCATCCCTTGGGGCTGGGGATTTAGCTCAGTGGTTTTGCCTCCTGCTGCACAAGCGCAAGGACCCGAGTTCGATCCCCGGTACCAAAAAAAAAAAAAAGGCATCCCTTAAACTTTGAGCGATAATTTCAGGATATAGTCCTGGACGACATACAGCCTAAGCTCATCTGTTATGTATTGGTGGTGTGAGTGTTTAAGTGGAGGTTATTTTTGTATCCCCACTATTCATCCCCCTTGCCAAGGGAGAACAGTGTTCAGACTTTTAAAAATGAGTGTAATGTATTAAATGTGACACATTTCTGTTTCAGAACTGTTCGTCAGGTGGCACAGGAGCAGTTCTTTTTAATGTGCACCAGATGTTGCATGGGACACAGGCCTCTGCTTTTCTTCATTACTCTGCTCTTTACCGTTTTGGGGGTGAGACATTTTTCATATGCTTGCCAGTGTGATACATTCGTTCAACAAGGACATTAATGAATTTTGGTTTTAGCTTTCATTAAAATTAGGTCAGTCTTTTTTAATAGATAAAAAACTAGAAAATTTCCTATTATAGTTATCTATTCTTTTTAAAAGCAGATTCTGATCATGGACGTGAAAATTCATATTGTTCTTTCTTTCCAGAGCACAGCTAAAGAAAGAGCTAAACATTCAGGGGACTACTTCACTCTCTTAAGGCACCTTCTTAATTATGCTTACAACAGCAATATTAATGTACCCAATGCTGAAGTTCTTCTTAATAATGAAATTGATTGGCTTAAAAGAATTAGGGTAAGTTACAGTTAATACTTTGTTAATAGCATTGTTGGTAATGTTTTATTAATAGGTGGTTTATAGTTTTGAACATTTTGGTTAAAGAGAAAACTCCAAAGTAACAAATGGACCAAAGAATATACAGTGCATTGGTGGATGTTAGTAACTCACAAGTCACAAAATGAATACATAACAAGTGTAAAATCCTTTGCTTGAGACCTGGAATTCTGCTGTTTGGTTCCTTCCATTTTATTGGGTGTTTTTTTGCCCCCCCATCTTGTTTTCATTTAAAATGTATCTGATAAGGGGGTGGGGATTTAGCTCAGTGGCACCACGCCTTCCTCTCGAGCTCAAGGTCCTGAGTTCAATCCCCAATACTGAAGAAAAAAAACGTATCTGATAGGCTAGCACTTTTGATCATGAAAACAGGATTTATTTCTGATGAAATTTAGAGTTTTACCCTTCAGATCATCATTTCAGTTTGTAAAGCCTGCTTCTAGAAAATTTTGAAAACTTGCAAACTTGCTTGAATGGAAAGGTTTAGACCAGTGGTGGTGAACCTATAGCACGCATGTTGCAGCGGAGTGTTTTTGTATCATTGAAAGCTCTAAAAGGTTCGCCATCCCTGGTTTAGGGGAATTACCTCATATCTCCCCAGCTGTTGTCTTATTCTAGCTCCATCTTTCCCCTTTACCTCTTTTATAAGTTACACGTTTATCATTTTTTTTCCTTTGGTAGGATGATGTTAAAAGAACAGGTGAAACGGGTGTGGAAGAGACGATCTTGGAAGGCCACCTTGGGGTAACAAAAGAGTTACTGGCCTTTCAAACTCCTGAGAAGAAGTTTCATATTGGTTGTGAAAAAGGAGGTGCTAATCTCATTAAAGTAAGTTCAGCATTCTTGGTCCTAAATGAGACTTATCCTTCTAAATGTCATCAAATCTGTGATTAATTGATAGTATCATATCTTCACCTTCTTTAAACGTGCTTTTTAAGAATCTTTATCAAGGGGCCGGGGATTTAGCTCAGTGGTTCCACCGCCTGCCCAGCAAGCACAAGGACCCAAGTTCGATCCTCGGTACAAGAAAAAAAAAGTCTTTATCAAGGTTATACCTAATGTTCAAGGGGCCGGGGATTTAGCTCAGTGGCACTGCATCTGCCTTGTAAGTGCAAGGTCCTGCGTTCAATCCCCAGTATCGTAAGTAAATAAATAAAAAAATCTTCTCCCAAGGTCCCAAGTTTGATCCCCAGTACCAAAAAAGAAAAAAAATCTTCAAAATACCTTGGGCTGTTCCCAAGATTTAGCTGTTACAAACTGTGCTGTTATAAACATGGGTGTGCATATATCACTGTGGTATGATGCTTTTAATTCTTCTGGGAAGATACCAGAAGAGGTATAGCTGGGTCAAATGGAACCTCTACTTTTAGCTTTTTGCGAAATCTCCACACTGATTGCCACAGTGGTTGCACCAGTCTACAGTCCCTCCAGCATTTGTTGTTGGTTGATTTCTTGATAGCAGCCATTCTTTCTGGAGTGAGAAGGAATCTCAGTGTTGTTTTAATTTACATCTCTCCAATGACCAGTGATGCTGTACTTTTTTTTTTTTGGTACCAGGGATCAAACTCAGGACCTTGCACTTGCAAAGCAGGCAGCAGAACCACTGAGCTAAATCCCCGGCCCACCATTTCTAATTCTATATCTGAGAAGTATCTTTTTCAGATACCCATTTTTGCATTGGGTCTTTAAATTTGGGGGGGGGTCTGTTTTTTTTTTTAGTTCTTTATATATTCTAGATAATAGTCCTTTATCTGAGTAGCTGGTAAAAATTTTTGCCCACTGTGTTGGTGGTTTCTCTTGCTGTGCAAAAGCTTTTTAATAAGATGAGGTCCCAGTTGTTGATTCGTTGTAGTATTTTCTGTGGTGTGGTCTGGTGGTGGCGTTTTTTTGTTTTTTTGTTTTTTTGTATTGGGAATCGAACTCAGGTTCTTGTGCTTCTGAGGCAGGCGGCGGAACCACTGAGCTAAATCCCTGGCCTGGTTGTTGTTAATGAAGTCTTTTGTGCCATACATTATTCAAGAGATGTTACTAAATATTGTATGTAAATTTCAGTATAAAGTACTTTGTAAATATTATTAGACTATTTAAATGAGGCAAGCCTTTGTTTTGTATGACTGTATCATATGTATCATTTCTTTAATGAGTTTCTTCTTGTATAGTAACTTAAACCAAAAGTATCATTTTAATGGATTTTATTTTCATTCAGAATTGGTTTGAGACTGAGTGGTGGCACATGCCTATAATCCCAGCACTCTGGGAGTCTGAGGCAGGAGGATTGAACGGTTAAACCTAGCCTGGATGACTCAGCAACACTCTGTCCCAAAGTATTTTTTTATTTATTTTATTTCATTTATTTAATTTTTTTGGTACTGGGGATCAAACTCAGGACCTTGCACTTTCAAAGTATTTTTTTAAAGGGCTGGGAATGTACCAAGTGTGAAGGCCCAGGGTTCAATCCCTAATATTGGGGGAAGGGGGCTGGTTTATTTTCATACACATTTGATTAAAGGAGTAAACTTTCTTAAAATGTAAATTTTATAAGTACTATTAGCCAGTTCTCTCTCTCCCTCTCTCTCTCTGTCTTGTCTTTGGTTGATTGGTTGGTTTTTTGAGATAGGATCTTGCTATGTATGTAGTTCAGGCTGGCCTTGAAATCTGCCTCAACCTCCCAAGTGCTAGGATTACAGGCTTGTGCCACCACATCCAGCTACAGCCAGTTCTCCTAATACTTAGTTTTTTTAATGTGGCAAATGAGTGTGGTTTTAGTTACAATAAATAGCACTTAAAATGGGATATTTTAGGACTTAGTGGTGCATTCCTGTAATCCTAGCACTCGGGAGGCAGAGGCAGGAAGATTGCCATGAGTTTGAGGCTAGCTTGGGCTACATAGTGAGTTCAAGGCCATCCTGGACTACACAGCATGATCTTGTCTCCAAAAAAAACAAAGGAGGCCAGGGATTTAGCTCAGTGGTTCCGCTGCCTGCCTTGCAAGCGCAAGGACCCGAGTTCGATCCCCGGTACCAAAAAGGGGGGGGGGTGTTTTGAATATCCAAGTATGGTTTCTGAGATATAATAAGACTTTAAATTCCAACAAGTAATTTTAAAATTATTTTCTTACAAGAGATCCTTTTTTCTTTTCCTGAGTATATTGTTGCTAATACACAATTCTTTTTGAACTTTTAGGAATTAATTGATGATTTCATCTTCCCTGCATCCAATGTTTACCTGCAGTATATGAGAAATGGAGAGCTCCCAGCCGAACAGGCTATCCCAGTCTGTAGTTCACCAGCTACAATTAATGCTGGTTTTGAGTTACTTGTGGCCTTGGCTGTTGGCTGTGTGAGGAATCTCAAACAGATAGTGGATTCTTTGACTGAAATGTATTATATTGGCACAGCAATAACTAGTAAGTATTTTAAAATATACTTGAAGTTGTGATGGTTAATAATTTTAATGTTTCAAATTCTGTTCGCAGATTTTTCTTTTAGTAAATGTCAAGTCATGTTTTTTCACCAACTAGTTTAATGTTTTTAGGAAATGGATATATAATTAAATCATTATAAGCAGATAGCTTTGTGTAGAAAAATTTTCAAGTGTTTGTTAAATGTTTTTCTATAAGTAAGGGTATTTGCAATTTAAATTTCAACTTTTCAAATCTGAAATAAAACATAAATTTCAGGGCAATAAGTAGCCAAAATAAAATGCAATTTAAAACATAAATTGCATGCATTTAAAAAACCCCACTTAGGGGCCGGGGATTTTGCTCAGGTGCCACGCCTGCCTCCAAATACAAGGTTCTGAGTTCTATCCCCCGTACCAAAGAAAAGAAAAAAAAAGAAAACCCTCACTTAGAAGTTCTTCAGCCGGGTGTGTTAATGCATGCCCTGTAATCCCAGCATTCAGGAGGCTGAGGCAAGAAGATCCCCACAAGTTCAAGGCCAGCCTGGGCTACATAGTGAATTTAAGGCCAGCCTGAACTACATAGCGATACCCTGTCTCAAAAATAAAAGTTCTTCAGTGTTACTTCCGTGAGTTTTAAGAAAATTTGGTTTTTTGGTGATGAGAATGTGAGACGGTGCCATTTTGGTGCATGCTATTTATGTTCAGTTAATGCCTCTATTAAGCCCATGAAAATGTGGTACAGGCACCAGGTCTTGAACAGAAGCTCAAAGGGTAAGGGCAGTACACAGTAACAGAATGCACAGAAACACAACAGTCTGTTTCATTCAAAAAAGAAAACCACAGTAACATAATATGATTGGTAAATCTTTAAAGAACATAGCAATTTTTTTTTGATACATTGTGTTTCAGAGTGTAAGGTTTTTAAATAACATCTTAAGTGTTTCTAATTAAACGGATTGCTTAAAAGATTAGACTTTGAGCTCTTCTATCAAATCTACATAGTAGCATGATTTTTTTAAATTGTTTTAAATTTAATAGGGGTTTATGTGTTAAGTGGTAATTTACATGGAAAAATTTCAGCTGCTAAAGCATATACACTAAAATATATGCTTCTGCAATCCCCCAGTTCCTTTTGATAGCTATAACTTTTACCAGTTTTTATCTGTCCTCCCAGCTTCTCTTTGTATGCAAAATCTATGTACAAAATCTTTTTTCATTTTGCCCTTTACCATAGATTGGAATATATAATACAAACATATTCTTCACTTTGTCTTCCATTTCATTGCTAAATCTAAAGATTTTTTTTCCAGTACCGGGGATTGAACTCAGGACCTTGATCTTGCGAGGCAGGCTCGGTGCCACTGAACTAAATCCCCAGCCCGTCTAAAGATATATTTTATCTGTCATTATTCCCTGTCCTCCAACTTATAAGTATTTACCTAATTCTATTTAGTGGCTTTATATCTTTCAGTTCAGTAGACTATAATTCACTTAACTAATCCCCTAAGAAATGATAATATTTATGTTATTTCCAGGTTTATATGGGAGTGAGGGTAGCTAGAGATTAACAATTCTCAAAAGACTTTGAAACTTGCAATCTGGTTAGGAAGTGAAAAAGAAAAGATTGGTGTCAGAACTGGGGTGGTGTTAGGATTATTTAAAAAGGAGCAAATCATCATGTGTTCATGCATGTATATTTCATGCCACAGTGAGTTTGAAGGCATTTAGAAAAAATACAAAAGTACAAAATGTTAAAAGTGAATGAACCGGGCCGGGGATTTAGCTCAGTGGTTCCAGCGCCTGTTGCACAAGCGCAAGGTCCTGAGTTCGATCCCTGGTACAAAAAAAAAAAAAGTGAATGAACAGTAAAGATGAAAGCAAACTTAGCTCATAGGTACCAGCACTATGCCATCTTGTATGACTTGTTCTGAGACTGCCATCAGAAATGAAACCATATAAAACTTGGGTATATGGCTTTGTGGGTAAGAATCTGCAGCAGTGCATGTTGCTGTCTAAGAGGTGTTGAGGGTGGGATGCAAAGTGAAATCACTGCCTTAGGTGGCTGGAGGGGTGGTGGAAGTGCTTTGTCCATATAATAGAGCTCAAAAGGACAAGATGGTTGTGTTCATGCTACAAGTCTCTCTCCTTCTCCCAGCTTGTGAAGCACTTACTGAGTGGGAATATCTGCCACCTGTTGGACCCCGCCCACCAAAAGGATTTGTGGGACTGAAAAATGCTGGTGCTACTTGTTACATGAATTCTGTGATTCAACAACTCTACATGATTCCCTCCATCAGGAATGGTATTCTTGCAATTGAAGGCACAGGTAGTGATGTAGATGATGATATGTCTGGGGATGAGAAGCAGGACAATGAGGTAAATTTTAGTTATTTCTGTTTACTGTGCTTGAAATTCTGCTACCTTTCTCTTAAGAGAGTACAGTTGGGCCGGGATTTAGCTCAGTGGTTCTGCCGCTTGCCTCGCAAGCACAAGGATCCAAGTTCGATCCCTGGTACCAAAAAAAAAAAAAAAGAGAGTACAGTTAACATCCTTTGGATTCTTAAATCCCTCATATAAAAAAGACAGTATTGACATATAATGCTGTACACACCCTCCTGTATAATTTAACCACTTCTGGATTATTTATAATACCTAACAGTGTAAATGCCATGAAAATAGTTGCTTTACTGTGTTGTTTAGGAAATAATAACAAGGGGGAAAAGTCAGGACATGTTCAGTACAGACCCAGTTTTTCCCCCAATATCTTTGATCAGGGGTTGGTGATGGTGCAGGTGTAGAATTAGTGGTTATGGAGAGCAAATTACATTGTACTTTGACTAGACCTGATAAAACTATTTGTGAAGCAGGGGCAGAGTGTGCTGGCTGGATGTTACCTCTTGATGTGAAGCAACAATTTAGTGTGCACATCATTTTTGTGTGTGGTGTTCAGTATAATTTGGAGTTTGTGTAAATCTTCACTTTTAATAGTTTATATTTTTGCTTTTCTATTTCATATCTCAATTATCTATCAATTTGTGCCAAATTGTATAGTATCTACCACTTTTATTATCTGTGTTTGCTTCTAGATTATGCTTATATTTCTCCTATTTCATCACTCTTACTTAAGGATAGTGTAGAGCTGGATATGGTACTACACGCCTCTAATCCCAGCACTCGAGGCTGAGGCAGAGGGATCGCCACAAGTTGGAGGCCAGCCTGGGCTACACAGTGAGACCCTGTCTCCAAAAAAAATCTTAAGGCAAAATTTAGGCTGCCTACAAAATATCCACTACAAAATAAAGCAACAAAAAGTTACATTGTTGTGGTGGATCAGAGTTGACATGACTATGACATTGCTTTTCGAAAAGACTTAGATTGCGGTCATGTTTGTATCCACCCTAAACTGTATTTCTTTATCTTTTTGTGTTTGTAGCATTTAGTGGAAACTGAGGAGGGAAGCCGGAGTATATTCTCATTGTAATAAATGCCCTCATTTACTCCCTTCAGCCACCAGAACTGGATTTGTTCTGAAGAAATAGTTTATACTACTTACAGGGCTTCTAAAACACACTTGTCTCTATTTCTCCCTGGACCTGTGGACCAGATCATCCAGGGATTGGGGGCTGAGGATGTAGTTTAATGGTAGAGCACTTTCCTAGCATGTGTGAGGCCCTGGAGTCCAGCCCCAGTACCTTTTTTCCTTGTTTATTTTTCCGGTACCAGGGATCGAACTCGGGTCCTTGTGCTTTCGAGGCAGGCAGCAGAACCACTGAGCTAAATCCCTGGGCCCCCAGTACCTTTTTTAAAAACAAAAAGCTTCATAGGGAATGCTTACACCCATACCTGATTAACAATCACTGCTCTAGGGGGAAATTGGAATTTAAATTCTAGTTTTGTAGCCCATCATATATCCCTGGGATGTTGAGTTAAACACAAGTAGATACAGCTGATTGCACTGGCAAGCAGTAAATGAGGCACTCCAAATGGCACAATTTACCTGGCTGTGGTTGCATGCACCTGTAATCTCAGCTACTCAGGAGGCTAAGACAGGAGTGTTTTGATTTTTTTTTTTTTTTTGGCCCCAGAGTCTTACCGTGTACTTCAGGCTGCCTTGAAGTCACTATGTAGGCCAGGCTGTCCTCACACTCACTGCAGTTCTCCTGCCTCAGCTTCCCAAGTGCTGGATCCATGCATGTGCCATCACACGGCCTACTTATATTTTTGTTTCCTTCTTTAGGCTATAAATTTCTTTTGAACAGGGACTAGATACTTTTTTTCTCTTTTTTGGGTGGTGTGTTCCTGAACTAGCATTTGAATTTCATGCCTTGCACATGCTGAGCAAGTGCTCTACCATTGAGATACATCTCCATCCCTTTGTTTTGTTTTCATTTTAAAACAGGGTCTTGCTAGGGCCAGGGATTTAGTTCAATGGTTCCACCGCCTGCCTCCCAAGTGGAAGGACACGAGTTCGATCCCCGGTACCAAAAAAAAAAATCCTAGAGATTTTTGGGCCGGGGATTTAGCCCAGTGGTTCTGGCACCTGCCTCAAAAGCGCAAGGTCCCGAGTTTGATCCCTGGTACCAAAAAAAGAAAAAAATAATGAGTTTTTGTTTGGGGTTTTTTGGTACCGGGAATCGAACTCAGAACCATGCGCTTGCGAGGCAGGCGGTGGCACCACTGAGCTAAATCTCCAACCCTAAGCACCTTATTTAAGTAGAATCATAACGATATTTGGCATTTTATGGCTATTTCACTTAGCATAATGTCTCAGGGTTCATCCATGTTGTAACATGTGTTAGAATTTCCCCCTTCTAAAGGCTGAATAGTATTCCACTGTGTTTATATTTATATCCCATATTTTGCTTCTCCATTCATCTTTCTGTGGACATTTGAGTTGCTTCCTAGTTTCAGTTATTGTGAATAATGCCGCTCTGAATGTGGGTATACAAATAGCTCTTTGATGCCCTGCTTTCATTTCTTTTGGGTAAATGCCCTGAAATGGAATTGCTCAGACATAAGCTAATTCTATTTGTAATTTTTCTGAGAAAGTCTTTTCCATAACAACTGCACCATTTCACATTGCCACCATTAGTGCACAAGGGATTCACATTTTCCACATCTTTGCCAGCACTTGTTATATTTTCTTCACCATAGTAGACACCTATAATGGAGTGTGAGGTAATATCTCGTAGTTGTGATTTGCATTTCCCTTATGGTTAGTGATGTGGAGATTATTTTGCTGTGTATTGTTGGCCATTTGAATATCATCTTTGGAAAATTAATGTCTTCAAGTCTTGGGCCAGGGATTTAGCTCAGTGGTGGTGACACCTGCCTTGCCAAGCACAAGGTCCTGAGTTCGATCCTTGGTACCAAAAAAAAAAAAAAAGACCTCAAGTCTTTGGTCCAGTTTTAATTGACTTAAGTTTTAGAATTTCTCTATATGTTCTGGATTTTAATCCCTCATCAGATGATTGATTTACAAATAGCTTTTCCTATTCAATTGGGAGTGTATTTGCATGAATGTTTTTAATAAGTTTTAAGGAGGTCCAATTTGTATCATTTCTTTTGTTGCCCGTGTCTTTGGTGCCATAGTGAAGAAATTATTACCGCATTCAATCTCTTGAAGTGTTTTGTGGGCTGGGAATGTAGCTCATTGGTAGAGTGCTTCCCTGGCATGTGTGAGACCTTGGATTCCATCCCTACCTCTACCAGCCCCACTCTACCCCTGGCCAAATATATATATTTGCTCTTATGTTTAGAACTTGGATGCATTTTGAATTTTTGTATTTATTGTTAGGTAAAGATCCTACTTCTTTTGCTTGTAGATAACCTGGTTTTCCCAGCACCATTTATTGAGGAGCATGACCACTATTAATGTATATATTTTATTGAATATTTACAATTACAAGTGCATTCTATACATTATCTCATACAATCCTTACAATAGCTACATGAAGAATGTATTGTTGGGCTGGGGATTTAGCTCAGTGGTTTCGCCGCCTGCTGTGCAAGTGCAAGGACCCAAGTTCGATCCCCGGTACCAAAAAAAAAAAAGAATGTATTGGCCCCATTCACATGTAAGGAAACTGAAGGTTAGAAAGTTTTAAGTAATGTTTACTTTATCAAATTTGTTAGCTGATAAGAGTCTCAGTTTGTGTCCAGTTTAGTCTAACTTGATCGCCACACTAATTCTCTGCTGTATATCTGCCTCTCTGACATGGTCAGAGTTGTTCATTTATAATAACTTGTAGCTGGCATGGTAGCATACCCCTGTAATCCTAGCACCCAAGAGGCTAAGGCATGAGGATCACTACGAGTTCAAGGCCAGCCTGAACTGCAAAGCAAGACCCTATTTCAGGGGGAAAAAATATGAATAATAATAATAGTTCTTATGAAATGGCAGGATTAAACACTAATAGACTAAATTTTGTAAATTGAAGGTTAAGCTAGGCATGGTGGCACATGCTTGGAATTCCAGCACCCTGGGTAGCTGAGGCAGGAGGATCTCAAGCTTTAGCCCAGCCTGGGCAACCTAGTGACTTAGCAAGACACTAAAAATAAAAATTTTTAAAAACCAACAGATGAAACTCAGTGGAAGAGAACCCCTGGGTTCAGTTACCAATATGGCCCCCCCAAAAAGTGCTTTGGAAATAAATAATAAAAGTACAGATTACATGTTCACTAACTGACATTTGTGTTAACGTATTTTACTACACTATAACTCATTATATATTTTTTGGTTTCTAGAGCAATGTTGATCCCAGGGATGATGTATTTGGATACCCTCAACAGTTTGAAGACAAACCAGCATTAAATAAAACAGAAGATAGGAAAGAGTATAATATTGGTGTCTTAAGACACCTTCAGGTCATCTTTGGCCATTTAGCGGCTTCTCGACTGCAATACTACGTGCCCAGAGGATTTTGGAAACAGTTCAGGTAATATCAATGGAAAGATAGTAGCAGTAAGAATAGTTCTTAAAATTTGATGAACATCTTGTGGCACATGCCTGTAATCCCAGCACTCAGGAGGCTGAGGCAGGAGAATCACTGCTAGTTCAAGGCCATCCTGGGCTACATAGTTCAAGGCCAGCCTGAACTGTATACCAAGACCCTGTCTCAAAACCCCCCCAAAAACTTGAGGAACATCTCAATACACTAACAGTAAACTTCTAAAATACATGTTTTAAGGTATCTATGTGTTCAATATTTAAACAATTAGATTCCAACTATTGTTTTTAGTTTTCTCTTTTGTCTCTATAGAAGATACAAATGCATTGCTGGTGGGACAGCACTGTCATTTCTTTTACTTGACACATAAAAATTATACTCGTGATACTATTTGATATTTCTATACATGGGAGCAGCATTTTTTTTTAGTCCCTTAAGATAATTACTAACTTTATTATGGAAATGTCTGACATAGGCATAAGCAGAATAATATCAATCGTAACCAGGCACATGGTGCGCACCTGCAGTCCCAGCATTCAAGAGGCTGAGGCAGGAAGATCGCTGTGAGTCTTAAGGCCAGCCTGGGCTACATAGCAAGATCCTGTCTCAAAAACAAACAAAAATAGTATCAATCCTGATATGCTCATCACTCAATCTTGTTTAATGTGTATTCCTACCTGCCACTTTCCAAATTGTTTTTAAGCAATGCACAGATAGTTTCACCCATAAAAACTTAATGTCTATTTTTAAATATTATCATGGTAGCTAGGAAGGTGAGGAGGAGAAGCTCAAGTTTCAGACTAGCCTGAGCAACTTAGCAAGACCCTATTTTAAAAATAAAGGCTGAGGGCCAGGGATTTAGCTCAGTGTGGTGCCATGCCTGCCTGGCAAGTGCAAGGTCCTAAGTTCAATCCCTGGTACCAAAAATTAAATAAATAAATGCTGAGAAAAGAGGCGGGATGTATCATGTACCAAGTGCAAATTCCCTATGATGAGTGTTGTTATGTATGCCTAAAGTGTACCAATGACTGTGTGTGTGGTGAGTGCGCCCCCCCCCCCCCCCGCGCAGTGATCGAACTTAGGACTTTGCACTTATGAGGTAGGCCTGGTGCCACTGAGCTAAATCCCTGGCCCACCAATAACTGCTTTGCTATTTTAAAAAGGTTTTTTTTAAGGCTGGTAATGTAGGTCAGTTGCCTGGCATTTATGAGACCCTGGGTTCAAGCCCCAGTATTGGGGGGGGGCAACATAACCACTGTACTGTTACTATGCAGGGGGGTTAAGTCTTTGCGGTATCGGGGCTTGACCTCAGGACCTTGCAAGGCAGGAACTGTGCCACTGAGCTAAATCCCCGGCCCTAAAAAAATCTTTAACAGCATATGTGGTCAGTGTTGGAACTACAGTCAGTTTTCTCATAAATGATTTTCACTGATATTTTTAAAAATCAGGATCCAGCACTTGCCTCGCATGCACAAGGCCCTCAATTCAGTCCCCAGCTTTGCAAAAACCACAAAACGTACTACAGGGTACTTCCCAGACAGCTTGAGAAGGGGTTAGGGAAGCAAAAAAGTCACCTACCGTTGCTATTCTGGTCCACCTTCCCTGCTTGTGGCAGGAGGCTGCATGTGTATTGCTTCAGAACCCCTGCTTTAGAATACAGTGGGTGACCACCAGCACATCTATTCCCGTCACCCCTACCCAGGCCCCTGTTGGTCTACACTAGCTCCTCCTGTGTCTCGTCACCTCTCAGCTTACTCTGTCTTCTCCCCTCTATTTCAGTTCATTTCTATTCGTTCTCCAACTTGTTGAACTTTCATCTTGGTATTTGTCACTGAGTTACATTTTTCTCTCCATACAGTGCCTTTGTTTGTTTTTTTTTTAATTCCCTGTGCTGGTAGGCTCACACTTGTTCCAGACTAGCACTGTCTGTTATCCACACTTCAGACATGTGATCTATTCTTGATGCATAGGCCTTAGTTAAGCACATCCCCCACTCCTGAGTATTTTATCTTCAAAAATTTCAGACCTACAGAAAAGGTGAGAGTAGTATAATAATCATGTTTTTATTACAGTTTTTTCCTAGTTGCCTGGTTGTGAACATTTTGCCAGATTTGCTTTTATTTATTTATTTGTATTTACTTTGAGTTTGTTTGTTTCTAAACCAGTTGGTATGGTAGTAAGTCGCAAGCATGATACTTCATCCCTGCATACTTTCAACATGTATATCTTCTAAGAATATTTTTAGTTTTTTGAGACAGGGTCTAGCTATGTAGTCCAGGCTGGTCTTGAACTCCCTGTGTAGCCCAGGCTGGCCTCGAACTCAAAGCAGTCCTCCTGCCTCAGCCTCCCGAGTGCTGGGATTACAGGTGTGCGATACGACACCTAGCAAATAAGCCTCTTGTCCTACTTGTGTATAATTTTAATACCCAAGAAACATAATACTAGTAGTCTCTAATATTTATCAGTATATATTCCAATAAAGACCACAAAATAGTCTTTATAACTTTTTGACTTTTCTATCCCAGTCTGATATCCAAGAAAGAATCATAAGAATTTTATTGTTAACTCCTTATTCTCCTGTAATTTAAAATCATTCTTTGTCATGACTTTCATATCACTGAAATTTTCAAAGAGTTCAGGCCAGTTGTCTTGCAGAGAGTAGCATTCTTGGTTTGTGTGATTGTTTCCTCATGATGAGATTCAGGTTAAACTTTGGGGGAGCAGAGCAAGAATACCACGGGAATGATGCTTCATGCTTTTCAGTGCATTGCATTGGGAGAGATGTGGTGTCCATTTGTTTGCTAGCGATGATGACTTTGATCCCTTGATGACAGGCCTCTCCATTTTAAGGGATAACTTTTCCCTTTTATAATTAGTAAGTATGTGTCTGTGTCACATTCCCTGGAGCAGCCACTCTTCTATCAACCACACCAGTAGTTTCATGGCAGTGCTTTGTCCCTGGGGTTCCACTTTCACTTCGCGTCTCACCCTCATTGTACTCTGTAGGTGAAGTGCACCCTCCTATGTATGTATTTAAGGAAGAAAACCTTACTGTGGTTGTATTGTGCTTTTTTAACTAAAAAGTGGTGTGTGTATTGTCATGAGTGTCACATGTTACATGTTTTTTATTTCATTCATTTTCTAGGCTTTGGGGTGAGCCTGTTAACCTCCGTGAACAACATGATGCTTTAGAATTTTTTAATTCATTGGTGGATAGTTTAGATGAAGCTTTAAAAGCCTTAGGACATCCAGCTATGCTCAGTAAAGTCTTAGGAGGCTCCTTTGCTGATCAGAAGATTTGCCAAGGCTGCCCACATAGGTAAGTACTAATTACAGATCAGAAGTATAAACAAGTTCGATCCCCGGTACCAAAAAAAAAAAAGTATAAACAGTGCTGCCTAAAACTTAAAATTTTATCAGTACTCATGTACAAAAGTAAAATGTGCCACTGTTTATAAAATTTCTGAAACTGAATACATTGTATGCAGTGTTGCCTCGGTTCACGAACTTAATTTGTTCCACGATTTTGGAAAAGATGGCTGTGATTGTGTTTGTCACATGATGCAATTTGCAAACAGAAACAAAATTTTGCCAAACGCTTATGTTTGTGAACCAAATTGTTCGCAAACAAAGGTGTTTGTGAACAGAGGTGCCACTGTACTGTGTACACCTGACTACTGTGCGATTTATTTTTGGTTTGTCAACTTCTGGTTCCTTTTCTACACTGCTTAATTTCTTACTGTTTTGTACTCATATCCTTTTATGTATTACTGTACTTAGGAACTAAAATAACATTTTGCATATAATTACAGATATTACAAATTTGCTCTTTATCTTAGAGTTTAAATATAATATTATAAATCCATTGTTTAGAAGATTGAAGATCTAGAGTAGTATTTCCTATTCAAATGAAATATATACTTTTTTAATTTTGGTACCAGAGTTTGAACTCAGGTCTTTGCGTTTGCGAGGCAGGCAGCGGAACCACTGAGGTAAATCCCTGGCCCTGAAATATATACTTATTTATAGTATGTTTGCATACAAAGCATAGCGAGAGTTCAAAATAACAAATTAGAGGGTTTTTTAAAAGGGAAATTAATGAACACCTATTGGAAATAACTAATCAGTTCATCACTGAAAAACACACTCATCTGTCTCATGGAAGTTTTTACTTTGTGCCTTACCTCATAATCTTATCAATTAACGTTGGTTTGCAATCCATTTTCGCCAAAATACCACAGTAAGATGGTATTTTTCTACTAGCCACATTGTATAATTAATATTCATGAGTTAGGTTTGTGACTGGCAGAGGCACTTTGTTTTTGGCAGCTTTTTTCCCCCCCTTCAGTACCAGAAATTGAACTCAGGACCATGCTCTTGCCAGGCAGGCATGGCACCACTGTGCTACATCCCAGCCCCTGGCACTTTGTTTTTGAACATAAAGACATGTTATGGGAAAAGAATACTGTATAAATGAGAAGTTTTATGAGGTTATAATTTTACCATTCACTCAGAATTTGGGGATATACTTGTTTGCTTAGCCTGGGCAACTTTTGGTTCTTTGGAAAGACCTTTTACATTAGGCATACAATAAAATTTGCATTCTAAGCTCTTCATTTTAATTACTGAAAAAAATAGCGAACTGTTTGATCATCTGTTTCTGTCAGTCCTTCTCAGTTTATTTTAGACAATTTTCCAAATTAGTTGGAAATTACCGGTTTTCTTTGCCAGATGAAAATGTTAAGAGTGTGATCTTGCTGAGCCATGGTGGCACACAGCTACAATCTCAGCTACTCAGGTGGCTGGGGCAAAAGGATCACAGGTTCAGGGCCATCCTGGATAACTTACTGAGACAGTGTCTCAAAAATAAAATAGAGGGGGCTGGGGATTTAGCTCAGTGGTTCTGTCGCTTACCTTGCAAGCACAAGGACCCGAGTTTGATCCCTGGTACCAAAAAAAAAATAATAAAAAAATAAAATAAAATAGAGGGCTGGGGATTTAGCTCAGTGGTGCTGGCACCTGCCTTGCAAGTGCAAGGTACCAAATTTGATCCCCAGTACCCAAATAAATAATTAAAATAAAAATAGAAGCCAGGTATGATGATGCACACCTGTGACCCTAGTTACAGAGGAGGCTAACGTCAGAGCGGTGGTGGCAAACCTATGGCATGAGTGCCACAGCAGCAAGCTTGTTTGCATCATTGAAAACTCTAAAAGATTCACCATCACTGTGAAAGAGGATTGCAAGTTTGAGACCAGCGTGGGAAACTTAGTAAGACTGTGTCAAAATAAAACAATAAGGGCTGAACAGTGCTCCCTGTGTTCAATCCTCAGCACAACAAAAAATAAATAAAAAGAGCTGGAGGTGTAGCTTGGTGGTAGAGTACATGAGGCCCTGTATTCATTCCCCAGTATGGCCAAGAAGAAATCTGATAATTGAAGTCAGATGCTAAATACCTAACCAAAAACTAAACTGATTTCAGTTCCTATCCCGTCCTACAAAGTTACATAAATAGTCCCAAGGCTATTATAGGACTTTATTTATATAGAACAGAAGTCAACAAAGAATAAAACACAGGCCGTATCCAGCCTGTCACCTGTTTCTGTGTAGTTTTATTGGAACATGCTCAGTTTTGTACTGTCTGGCTGCTTTTACTTCAACAGCAGAATCTCATAGTTGCCACAGAGATGATAAGGCAATAGTTACCATCCACACAAATCTCACTCATAGCAGCATGGTAGGCCATAAAGAGCTTAATCTGTGAGTCCAGACATACTTGGCTTTAAAAAACCATTTCAGGGCCGGGGATTTAGCTCCGTGGTACCACACCTGCCTCACAAGCGCAAGGTTGTGTGTTTGATCCCTGGTACCAAAAAAAAAACCATTTCACCTAGTTACCTTGACCATGTTAACCTTTGTGAGCTTTGTTTCCTCATCTCTATAAAGTGATAGTTCTCTAGCAGGTTTATCATAAAGGCAGAGAACCTAGTACAAATGGTACCTCAATTCATGAATTTAATTTGTTCTATGATGTTTGAAAAGATGACCACATTTTTGTTTGTGTGAGAAAGACGGCTGCGGTTGTGTTTGTCACCTGGTGCAGAGTTTGCAAACAAGCATTTGTAAACCGAGGTACCACTGTATATAGAGTGTGTGACCAACCTAATGAGAAACCAACACATGGTAAATAACTGACGAATGTTAACTGTCATATTGGTGCATGTTTTGTCTTTGAAATTTCACATTATATAATAAATATTGCAAATGTAGCTTTCATTACATCTAGAACTAAAGAAAATATTTAGAAAACTAATGAATAAATCCTTTTGGTCATTTCTTAAATAATATCTTTAGGTATGAATGTGAAGAATCTTTTACGACTCTGAATGTAGACATTAGAAATCACCAAAACCTTCTTGATTCTTTGGAACAGTATGTCAAAGGAGATTTATTGGAAGGTGCAAATGCATATCATTGTGAAAAATGCAATAAAAAGGTATGAATTGTTGTTTTGTTTAAAATAGCTATGAGAGTTAATGGATTTCAAGGAATTGGGTTGTTTTTGTTCTTTTTCTTTTTTTTGTTTGTTTTGTTTGTTTGTTTGAGACAACATCTCACTATGTACTTGAACTGGCCTTGAACTCACTGTGTAGTCCAGGCTGACCTTCAACAACTCCTGCCTCAGCCTCGAGTGCTGGGATTACAGGTATGTGCCACCATGCCCAACCATTTTTTTCATTTTTAAATAAAAAATTAAAAGGGCCTGGGGCCGGGGATTTAGCTCAGTGATTTCGCCACCTGCTGTGCAAGTGCAAGGACCCAAGTTCGATCCCCGGTACCCAAAAAAAAAAAAGAAAAGAAAAAAGGGTGGGGGGGTTGGAAATGTAACTTAGCACGAAGGCCCTGGTTCCAATCTCTGTACTACCTAGGACAAAAATTTTGTTTATTGTTCTTCCCTACTTTGATATGATATTAATAGATTGTTAAGATGATAATTGATTTAAAAGCTTATCATGGAGGGTGGGGGATTTAGCTCAGTGGTTTCACCACCTGCTGTACAAGCGCAAGGACCCGAGTTTGATTCCTGGTACCAAAAAAAAAATCTTATCAGGGAAAGAAATTTAAAAAGTAGTACCAGGACCAGGCATGATGGCACATGCCTATAATCCCAGCACTTGGGAGGCAGGAGGATTGCTGCAAGTTTGAGGCCATCTTGGGCTATATAGTGAGTTAAAGGCCACCCTGAATTACAGAGCAAAACCCTGTCTCAAAAAAACAAAACAAACAAATAGTACCAGAGAGGCAGGGAAAGCATATAAATTGAGTGAATAATCTTAGAAGTCACAATGTCATAAGTAGCCTAATACTGCATTCTCTTATGTGAATTACACAGGTGCTTTTTTTCTCTGCCAAAAATCAAACTGTTAACCCCCCAAAGCTACAGAGCTGATAAAGGAAAACATTTCTCATCTCATGTCTAGGATTACTTTGATGAAACTGTTAATTGTTTTGTTTATCCATATGAGATTTCTTTTGCTAATCTATATTTTCAAACCACTTGGATCAGATTTGTAACCTGCGTAGTTTTTGCCTGTGAGAACTTAGGAGCTCTTTGGGAAAGATGATTTACACACGTATACAGTAAAGAATATGTATCTTTATGGTCTTTGAAGTCCTCTGACTTCCAAGTCACCTTATTTTAACCTTGTACACCACCAAAAGTATTACCATCTAGAGATTGAGACTGTTGGTGGTAAGGCCATTCTGCCTGCTACCCACAGTTTTAAGACTGGAGACAAGTTGTTTCTCTGAGATTGCTAATTCTCATCTTTACGGTTCAGTAGTACCTGCTTGAAAGGGATGTAAGGGTTAAATATGTTATTCCTTGTGCAGCACTTGGAATATTACCTGGCATCTAATTTCCTAATAAATACTGTTTACTATTGTTATTGTATGTCTTCAGTTTGCTTATAGCAAACCACCTTCGGTAGAACAACAGTAAGCATCAAACAAGTAATAATAAATAGCAATGTTAGTATAGAAACCAGGCAACAAATGTCTACATGTCACTAATTTTTGCAATTTTGTAACAACCCCCTTTCCATGTTGTACATTTTAGTTAAAAGTGTGATTGGGTCTTTCCGGGGAAGGTTGTCATACTTTTTGTTTGCTTCTTTGTTGGTGGATCATTGGTCATTTTAAAAAATCCAATAACTTTATTTATTTTAGGTTGATACTGTAAAGCGCTTGCTAATTAAAAAATTACCTCCTGTTCTTGCTATCCAACTCAAACGATTTGACTATGACTGGGAAAGAGAATGTGCAATCAAGTTCAATGATTATTTCGAATTTCCCCGAGAGCTGGACATGGAACCTTACACAGTTGCAGGAGTTGCTAAGCTGGAAGGAGATAATGTAACCCCTGAGAGTCAGTTGATACAACAGAATGAGCAGTCTGAAAGCGAGACAGCAGGAAGCACAAAGTACAGACTTGTGGGTGTGCTTGTACACAGTGGTCAAGCAAGTGGAGGACACTATTACTCTTACATCATTCAGAGGAATGGTGGAGATGGTGAGAGAAATCGCTGGTATAAATTCGATGATGGAGATGTAACAGAGTGTAAAATGGATGATGATGAAGAAATGAAAAACCAGTGTTTTGGTGGAGAGTACATGGGTGAAGTGTTTGATCACATGATGAAGCGCATGTCATACAGGCGCCAGAAAAGGTGGTGGAATGCTTATATACTTTTTTATGAACGAATGGACACAATAGACCAAGACAATGAGTTGGTAAGATACATATCAGAGCTTGCTGTCACCACAAGGCCCCATCAGATTGTTATGCCATCGGCCATTGAGAGAAGTGTACGCAAACAGAATGTCCAATTCATGCATAACCGAATGCAGTACAGTCTGGAGTATTTCCAGTTTATGAAAAAATTGCTTACATGTAATGGTGTTTACTTAAACCCTCCTCCAGGTAAGTGTCAAGAGTTTAGCTTCTTAGTAATAAAGAATAATTCTTGTAGGATTTCGTAATGGACATCAGCATGTTTAAGTTCATAAAGTTAACATTTCCATTTTAAATGAATCCAAATTTTTGCTTTTGTTTAAAATCACATTTAAAGCCAGGTGTGGTAGCACACACCTGTAATCCTAGCACTCTGGGAGGCTGAGGCAGGAGGATCATTGTAAGTTCGAGGCCAGCCTGGACTACAAAGTGAGACCCTGTCTCAGAAAACCAAAAAGAAGATCACATTTAAGGTGACTGTTAGCTTTGAGCAAAATATATGTTGACTTAACTGTTTGGAGACAAAGCTTTTGTGTAGCAATTTTGTTTTTTACTTACACATTTAATTTCAGACATACTTTAGTGAACTTCTAAAATGAGGATAATTATTTCATAAGTTGTCTGATGGGATTTTTAAAAATTTAGGACTCTTCAAAATGTAAATCTATTTGAAAATAGAAATTTATTTTATTTTTTTATCTACATTGTATTTATAGGGCAAGATCACCTGTTGCCTGAAGCAGAAGAAATTACTATGATTAGTATTCAACTTGCTGCTAGGTTCCTCTTTACTACAGGATTTCACACAAAGAAAATAGTCCGCGGCTCTGCCAGCGATTGGTACGTTGTTTTGGATTTTTATTGTAACGTACTAACATGTGCTTTGGCTCTTTGCTAGACTGCTTCATTTTTTCCTAAACGTAAAAAGCTTGCTTCAGATTTGAAATGCACAATAAATTCTTGACAAGGGCCGGGGATTTAGCTCAGTGGTTCCACTGCCTGTCTCGCAAGGGCAGGGTCCCAAGTTCAATCCCCGGTACCAAAAAAAAAAACAACTTAGTCTTTACATGGCCTATTATAATTCAAAAGCTGGCTTCTACTTCACATTAACCTTATATAAAAGATTATAGGCGTGGGGCCAGGGATTTAGCTCAGTGGTTTCACTGCCTGCTGCCTGCTGCGCAAGCGCAAGGACCCGAGTTCTATCCCCAGTACCAAAAAAAAAAAACCCCAAAAAATAAAAGGTTATAAAAATGACATTGAACAATCCAAGCCGTTTAATCATGAAGTTACTATATTTTAGCTTTCCTTAAATTCTGCGCTAGATTGAGAAGGTAAAAAATTAAAACGGTTTCCTTAAGTTTCTAATTGTAAAAGTATAGAGACCATTAGAATATTTTTGTTTCATAGTTTTAATGACTCCTCCAGAAGAAGTAAGACCATAAAACGGGAAAAGGGTAGTTTGGCATTGAACCTAAGAAGTGCATTTGATAATGGATTTTTAGAGGACAGTTCATACTTTCACCTAATTTGTAAACCAGTGAGACTAGACCAATTCCCAGGATCCATCTATCATTTTAATGTTAGTATTAGAAGCGGCTATTGCTGCTTCTCTCTCATGCAGTTAAAGGAGGTCTTTGCTTCTTTTTGGTTCATAGAGATCTATTCATTTGTTTTAGGTATGATGCATTGTGTATTCTCCTTCGTCACAGCAAGAACGTACGTTTTTGGTTTGCTCATAATGTCCTTTTTAATGTTTCAAATCGCTTCTCTGAATACCTTTTGGAATGCCCTAGTGCAGAAGTGAGAGGTGCATTTGCAAAACTTATAGTTTTTATTGCACACTTTTCCTTGCAAGATGGACCATGTCCTTCACCTTTTGCATCTCCTGGACCTTCTAGTCAGGTAATTGCACAGCTTTCTTTCTAAAAATTACATGCTTACAAAACGTGTTTCCTGGAAGTTGAAATCACAAACTTATATACATCCCTTTGATACATTAACCTAAATAACATTTATATGCGCAGTCTGATATCTGTGAATTGCATTAAAATTACTGCATTGAAATGAATAGAGAGTATTGGCTCTTAAAAAACATAAAGGAATTATCCCTGTTCACTTAAGTGAGCAGAGCGTGGTGGCACAAGCCTATAATCCCAGCACTCAGGATGCTGAGGCAGAAGGATGGCTGTGAGTTAGTATATAGTGAGACCCTGTCTCCAAAGCAAAAAGTTTAGTGTGATTCTCTTTTATAGAATGATACCTGAACCTTGTTGCTGAGAAATATATTGCTAATGTTCTATCCTTTACAGGCTTATGACAATTTAAGCTTGAGTGATCACTTACTAAGAGCAGTCCTAAATCTCTTAAGAAGGGAAGTTTCAGAACATGGACGTCATTTACAGCAGTATTTCAACTTGTTTGTGATGTATGCCAATTTAGGTAAGAATTTCGGTTTCCATAATCTGTTTTAATGTATTGTGTTAAATGGTGAAGTCATCTAGATCTAATGATGAAATATAACCTCGTCTAAGATAGAAACCATTTTTTTCATGAAATGCATTGTAAGTTATATCTGAACACAACACAGCACTTTTCACCTTGTACAGTACTTTATGTGTGTATGTTACCCCTGCAATAGACACAGGTAGGAATCTATGTTTTAGTCATATTTTATCCGTAAAGCAGTGGTGCCAGATTTGGCTTTTTGAACATACTCCTTTCTAGGCCTTGTTCCCCTCTGATCTAATCAGAATTCTTAAAGTTAATGCAAGGAATCCATGTTTTCAAAAGGTCCCTAGATGGTTGTGATACTCCCCACATTTGGGTAGAGCTCTATACATAATTTTTTTTTTTTTGGTACCTGGGATGGAACTCTGGACCTTGCGCTTGTGAGGCAGATGGCAGAACCACTGAGCTAAATCCCCAGTCCTTACAAATTTTTCTTGAAGTAAACAATATGGAAGCTGGGGATTTAGTTCAGCGGTAGAGCAGTTGCCTAGCACATCCAGGAGATGCTGGGTTCATTGCCAGCACCCCCTCAAAAAAAATCACTTACATTTCTCTGTTTTTACCATTGTATGATAGATCTCCTTCTCAAAATAGCCTGGTCTTTCTGATAGCACCTGATTATTTCTTTTCCATGATTAGTAAAACCTACCTAAAAATTGCGAAATTGTCTTCCATGCCTGTTGTGCTTCTGTCGCATTGCTCCCCAACTGCATTGCAAACATCAAAACCTTGCACACTGGCACTCAGTAAACATTTGTTGATTGATTGGATGGGTAGTAAAAGATGGCCCCTTGGGCCGGGGATTTAGCTCAGTCGTTCTGGCGCCTGCCTGAAAAGCGCAATTTCTGGAGTTCCATCCCCAGTACCAAAAAAAAAAGAGATGGCTCCTTATGATCAAACACTTTAATATCCCTAGAGTAAAACATGAATATTTGCAAAGGATGTGAAAAAAGGAAGACTCTGGATCACTTCTTGTCAGTTAAGGCTAAATTTTTCCACCAAACACATTTTGACACCTAATTTATAAAAGAACTTTAGCTATAAAAAGAACCTTAGGGGGCTAGAGATGCAGCTCAGGGATAGAGCACTAGGCTGGTATGCACAAGGCCCTGGGTTCCATCCCTAACACTACCCCCCACCCCCCAAAAAAGCCTTTTTGAATCTCAGGATTTTAAATCTCAAGATATCAGATAAGGGATTGTAGAATTGTGTTTATCATGTCAAAACACTCTATTGCCTAAAAAGGGATAGAAATCCAAGGAGGACATGGTTATGGTTTGAAAACCTGCTTAGCTTTACCTGAGGAAGGTGGCTAGAAACCAAATTGGCATGATAAAGTAGAGAGTGTAAGCATCTTTTTTTTAAGAAGTTTGGGGCCAGGGATTTAGCTCAGTGGTTATGTTGCCTTCCTTGCAAGCACAAGGACCCAAGTTCGATCCCCGGTATCAAAAAAAAATATGGAAGCAATTTAAGAGTTTGCTGCCATTAAATATATTCATGGCTGTAATAGGGAAAGTGCTGTGCAAGTACATTATTAGGATACCTTACCAGGTAGATTGGGAAGTATGGAAGACTTAATGGGAAAGTTGCTGTGGGAATCGATTATTTGAGTTTTCTATGCAAAGTAAATATAGATGCAGAGACTTGGAATTAACTTGCTCATTGAAGGAAGTAATAGTTACAGGGTCCAACTAGAGTTGCAATGAGCTAAGAATGGGAGGAATCTGCTCATGATTTTCTGGCAAACCTTGTGAGGGAGTCCAGACTTACCTGAGGCACTGGTGAGCCATTTCAAGGTTCTGAAGAGACATACTTTTCTAGAAAGATCCCTGGCCATAGTGTGGAATGAATTGCAATAGGTAAGATTGGAGATAGTTAAAATGATCTATAGGCAGAAGGCTTGCCCTGGAGAACTAGCAGGAAGATAAAAGTGGACAGATTCTGTTGCTTTTTGTTAAGAAATAAGAACTTTTAATAATTACCTTTCTCCTCTGTCCTCCACAACCAAACTTTTTTTTGTTGTTGTTTTTTTGTTTTTTTGATTTGGTTTTTTGAGAGATCAGGCTGGGATTGAACTCCCAATGTAACCCAGACTGGCTTTGAATATCATGATTCTCCTGCCTCAGCCTCCCAAGTGCTAGAATTACAGACGTGGGTTGTGGTGCTTTTTGTAATTCTGTGGGATTTAGTGATGAGATATTCGGGGAAAGGGGCAAGAAGGAGAGAAGAGTAATGCCCAGGATTCCAACTTGACCAGCTGAACAGAATGCCATTTCCTGAGGAGAAACACAGAAAAGCGCAATGGGGAGAAGGATGATGAAGTCGGTTTGAGCCTGTGTGACACCCAAATGGAGAGAATGACTAGAATGGTGAGGTGTTTGGAAAAACTCTGGATTCATCAGAATGAAAATAACTGGACTTGAAAATGGACTTGATCAGGCAGGAGAAGCGTATATTTTTTGGTTTTTGGTTTTTGCGGGGTTTTTTTGGTACCAGGGATCGAACTCGGGACCTTGCGCTTGCGAGGCAGGTGGTGGAACCACTGAGCTAAATCCCTGGCCCGAGAAACATATGATATGAGAAGGTGGCCTGGTCTAGGAACTTGAGGATCAGTAAATTTTTTTTAAATAAGGAAGAAAGACTCACAAATGAGATCAAGAAGAAGGGATAGGGCTGGGGATGTAGCTCCAGCAGCACAGTGCCTGCCTGGCAAGTGTGAGATCCTGAGTTCAATCCTTGGTACTAAAAAAAAAAAAAAAAGGGATAGAAATCCAAGGAGGACATGGTTATGGTTTGAAAACCTGCTTAGCTTTACCTGAAGAAGGTGGCTAGAAACCAAATTGGCATGATAAAGTAGAGAGTGTAAGCATCTTTTTTTTAAGAAGTTTGGGGCCGGGGATTTAGCTCAGTGGTTATGTTGCCTTCCTTGCAAGCACAAGGACCCAAGTTCGATCCCCGGTATCAAAAAAAAAAGTTTGGTTGTGGAGGACAGAGGAGAAAGGTAATTATTAAAAGTTCTTATTTCTTAATTGAATTGTTGATTTCATTGTGCTTACAGTCAAGGCTGCATGTGAGCCAGTCCTTTCAGACTTTCCAGGACACAGGAGATTTGGTCATCCCTGTGGCCAATATGACTAAAAGATCATAGTCGTGATCACTGTCTAGCAATTTTAATAATCAGCGACTTTTATATTTTGATTAATTCTCTGAATGTTAGGTAAAAGTGATAACGCTTCTGATCATAAAGATGATAGGCAAATTTTTTTTTTTTTTTTGGTACCGGGGATCGAACTCGGGTCCTTGCGCTTGTGCAGCAGGCAGCGAAACCACTGAGCTAAATCCCCGGTCCTGTAAGCAAATATTTTTAATACTTTTTATTCATGAAGCCCTTGCCATCCTAATGTTTTTCCTTTTATTTTTTTTCCCCCACTCTGCTTCTCTTCTTCATTGTAGGTGTGGCGGAGAAGACACAGCTGCTGAAACTGAGTGTACCTGCTACCTTTATGCTTGTGTCTTTAGATGAAGGCCCAGGCCCTCCGATCAAGTATCAGTATGCCGAGTTAGGCAAATTATACTCGGTAGTATCACAGCTAATCCGCTGTTGCAATGTCTCATCAAGAATGCAGTCTTCAATCAATGGTAAAATAGCCCAATTCTTGATAATAGTTCTTAAATACTGCCAGATATGTAAAATACTTGATTAAATGTAATTCTAAAGATGTTTCAGTATAAAATACTAGTTTGAAGGAAGCTCCATGCTTGAAAATGTTTTAGAATATTTTGAGTCCTGTGCCTTAATCAGAGATGGGTTTCTTTGGTTGGTTTGTTGTTGTTTTGTTTTGTTTTGTTTTGTTTTTTGTTTTGTTTTTAAATTCTGAGGGTCTCCTTGAGTTGCCCATCCTGGGCTCAGACTTGTGATCCCCCTACCTCAGCCTCCCAGAGTACTGGGATCACAGACCTGCCTTTTTGCATTTTTATCATTTTGGCGTACCTGATCATTTTAATGCTTATTACTTTCTTTATTGTATTTAGGAAAGTTGATTTACTGTTATTTTTCTAAAATAAAAAATCCACAAGCTATTTTAATACTATGGTGAACTCTGTGTTATTGTGGAGAAGCTTGTTAACTGTTCATTGATGCCAAATCTGTGTTCTAGGTAATCCTCCTCTTCCCAATCCTTTTGGCGATCCTAACTTATCACAGCCTATAATGCCAATTCAGCAGAATGTGGCAGACATTTTATTTGTGAGAACAAGTTATGTGAAGAAAATTATCGAAGACTGCAGTAACTCGGAGGAAACTGTCAAATTACTTCGCTTCTGCTGCTGGGAGAATCCTCAGTTCTCATCTACTGTCCTCAGTGAACTTCTCTGGCAGGTTAAAGGAAAATAAACATTCATTGGCCTCTGATTTGATTTGTTATTCTTATAGTTAAGTTACTCACTATGTCTTACCTGTTTGTAGGTTGCTTATTCCTATACCTATGAACTCCGACCCTATCTGGATCTACTTTTGCAAATCTTACTGATTGAGGATTCCTGGCAGACTCACAGGTAAATACTCATTTTATTACTGGACTAACTTAGACTGTGACAGTCACCATATACTTTTTTATTTTAACCTCTTGGAGTTCTACTGATTATTTCATCTTTAAAAAATTCAGTCTCCAGCTAGGCATGGTGACTCATGCCTATCATCCCAGCACTTGGGAAGCTGAGGCAGCAGGATCACTGTGAGTTCGAGGCCAGCCTGGGCTACATAGCTGAGACCCTGTCTCACAAACAAACAAACTCTCAGTCCTGGCATGGTGGCACACCCCTGTAATTTCAACACTTAGGGAGCTCACTGTGAGTTCAAGGCCAGCCTGGTCTACATAGTGAGACCCTCTCTCCAAAAATGGGGTGGGGGAGGTGTTTGAAAATTATCAAAATACTTGAATGTATATACCAGTTCCCCAAAATGAATATCACTGTTCTGTATTAGTAGTGTGCACATTTTTAAAAAGTGGTTTGATGCCAGGCATGGTGGTGCATGCCTCTAATCCCAGTACTTGGGAGGCAGAGGCAGGAACTACATAGTGAGTTCAGGGCCAACCTGAACTACAAAGTGAGACCCTGTCTAAAAAAACCAAAATAAAAGTGGTTTGAAAACTCAGGACAAAGGTCAATAACAAGTTCCCTCTTCCCCCAGAATTATATATCATTTTCTGGTTTTTTCTTAGTCTAAATTTCATACTTAGTATTACTAACTTAAGTTGCATTTTTATAAAAACGCTAGCATGGGTTTTTGGTAAATATTTGAATGTCATTCATATGCTCTTGGATTTTTTTAGGATTAAATTACATTAGCTTTAGAATTAGTCGCATAAAATAACATTTGGTTACCTAATAGTGCTTGTAAATAGTCATCACAATCCTGGAGGGAGTGAATGCTAAACAGTTGTCCCTAGAGGGAGATGAGGACTTAAGAGTACTGGGAGCCTCTTTGCTACCCTCGTCCCCGGAGGTTTTGGTAGTGGTTGTTTGGGTTTGGGGGCGGGGGGTTGTTTGCTGTACGGAGAATTGAACCCAGGGTCCCAGAGTTTGCATTGGGCTACATCCCCAGCCCTAGCCTTTTTTTAAATTTTGAGACAAAGGCTCACTAAATTGCCCAGGCTCAATTAAACTCTTAATCCTCTTGCCTCAGCCTCCCAGACTGCTGATCCTACAGGTATGTGCCACCACACTTGGCCTCTACATTTTTCTTTAGTTTCTTCTTTTGGTACCAGGGATCGAACTCAGGACCTTGTGCTTGCAAGGCAGGCGCGGGAACCACTGAGCTAAATCCCTGGCCCATGGCCTCTACATTTTTATCAACCAATTAGTGTATAACCTTGTTGTGTACATCTGTTTAATATATATTCTTGGTTCACTAACATGGAGTTTATGGCCAACAGCTCTTATAACTAATGCCTGAGTAGTGGGCACACTTGTAATCCCAGCACTCAGGAGGTGGAGACCGTGAGATCTTGAGTTCAAGGCCAATGTGGCATAAGTAGTAAGACCTTGTCTGCAAGGTAGGGGGAGAGGTGCTTTGTTTACAGTTGAAGCTAAAACAAGGCAGAGTGTCACTTTGTTGTACTTCAGCTAGGAAAGTGCAGGTTGGTCCCCTTGAATGCTTTCTGCTCTGCGTGTGTCCACTAATGGCCAGCATCCAAACTGTAGCCGTTTACTTCAGACACTGTTTGGTACCTTTCTTGGAATGATCAAAGGTGAGATCAAGCCATTTCTTTATTTCAAATTTCTTTTTTTTGTACCAGGGATCGAACTTGGGACCTTGTGCTTGCGAAGCAGGCAGTGTGCCATTTCTTAATATCAAACAATTTGAAACTTTTCTTCTGAGACTATTTTCTGTTTTAAAATAAAGCAAGCATTTGTAGCTTTAAACTGTTAAGTCCCAGCTTTGCTCTCATTTCATTAGAATAAATGATAATGGTAAAGGCATATTAAATGCTGGATTAAATGGGAGAGATCAACTTTTATGTAGTCAGATTAGTGAATCTTTTTTTTTTTTTTTGGTACTGGGAATCGTACCCGGGTCCTTGGCGCTTGCAAGGCAGGTGCCGGAACCACTGAGCTAAATCCCCGGCCCTAGTGAATCGTTTATTTTGTTTTGTTTTGTTTTGTTTTTGGTACAGGGGATCGAACTCGGGTCCTTGCACATGCGTAGAAGGCGGCGAAACCACTGAGCTAAATCCCCAGCCCCCTAGTGAATCATTTTTAAATGTGCTTATTTTAGTCCACCATGAACTTCTTAGGGTTTTTTGTTTTGTTTTGTTTTGTTTTTGGTAGCGGGGATCAATCTCGGATCCTTGTGCTTGCTAGGCAGGCAACAGAACCACTGAGCTAAATCCCCAGCCCTAGTGACTCATTTTTATTAGGAATGGCCCCAACTTAAAAATAATTTTCTCATAGTGAGCTTTGAGTTTATTGAGTAAATAGGGTCCACATATTTATGGAGTGTCTGTCACGTTCCCAGTTTTGCTTGGCATCAGGAAACAAGGTAGGGAGGGATTATATTGATTAAAGGTGCCATTGGAAACACTTAACACTGATGGGAAGAAAACATGATGCAACAGAATTAATGATTAAGCTGGGCATGGTGGCCCACACCTGTGATCCCAAGTACTCTAGAAGGCTGAAGCCCGAGGATTACAAGTTCCAAACTAGCCTGGGAAACTTAGCAAGGCCCTATCTTCCGGGATTTAGCTCAGTGGCACTGCACCTGCCTTGCAAGCACAAGGTCCTGAGTTCGATCCCTGATACTGCCCAAAAGTACAGAAAGCTGAGGATGTAGCTCAATGATAGAGCACTTCCATAGCATTCATGAGACCAGGATCCAATCCTCAGTACTCAAACACCATGAAACTGAAGGCAAAAAACAGATCAACAAGAAGCCTATACATCATTAGTTTGTCTGAAATGATGAAATGTTACAAAATTGCTGAAGGTTTCCAAACAAAACATCCCCCGCCCATTGAACTCAGGACCTTGCACTTACGAAGGCAGGTGCGGCACCACTGAGCAAATCCCCAACCCCTAACAAATTTTATTTTTAATTTTTTTTTTTAGCACAACATTTAAGACATACATGATAACACTCATCATAGGGAATTTGAGCCTGTACATGGTACCTCCTGCTGCCCCCTTTTCCCTCTCCCCTCAAGCCCCCTCCTCTCCCTATATACAAAAGCTTTGTTTCCACTTTTTCCTTCTATTTTCACTTTTTTTTTCTTGTCCCTTCCCTTCTCCCTCCCCTCCTCCCTTGTTCCCCTTCCCATTTGAACATTTTCTTCCCATTTCCCAATACCTATTACACATTTTGTTCCTTATTTCACTTAAGAGTATGGTCTCAAGGTCCATTTAGCTATAAGTGTCTGAAGCTCATCCTTCTTTATGGCAAAGTGTATTATCCATTATATTAAAAAAAACACATCTGGGCCGGGGATTTAATTAGCTCAGTGGTTGACCACCTGCCTCGCAAGCTGAGGGACCTGGGTTCGATCCCCGTTACAAAAAAAAAACACAAAAAAACCCCACATCTTCTTTATCCATTTGTTGGTTGATGGGCATTTGGGCTGTTTCCAAGATTTAACTATTAGAAACTGCACTGCTATAAACATGGGTGTGTATATGTCACTGTGATATAATGCTTTTAATTCTTTCAGGAAGATACTAAGGGGAACATCTGGGTCAAATGGAACCTCTAGTTTTAGTTTTTTGAGGAATCTCCACACTGATTTCCACAGAGGTTGCACCAGTCTACACTCCCACCAACAGTGGAGAAGTGTTCCTTTTTCCCCACAGCCCGGCCAGCATTTGTTATTGGCTGATTTCTTGATAATAGCCATTCTTTCTGGGGTGAGGTGGAATCTAAGCAACAAAACAAATTTTATAACTGCATGAGTTTAAAATTGACTCTCCAGGTGTTTTTTTATTTTACTGAGGTAAAATTAACCATTTCAACTACTTTGAAGTATGCAACCCAGTGGCTGTTAGTACATTCGCAGTGTTATGGGACCACATTACCATTATGTCTCACTCCAGAACATTTTACGACCCCAGAAGGAAACTCCCTACCCAGTTGCAGTCACCACCTGTCCATTCCAGCCCCTGGCACCCCCTAGCCTGCTTTCCCTCTCTGGATCTCCCTATTCTGACCATTTCATTAAAAATGAAATCAATCTGGGCATGCCTGTAATGCCAACAATCAGGAGGCTGAGTTAGGAGGATTGCAGTGAGTTCAGTGCCAGCCTAGACTATATAGTGAGACCCTCTCTCAGAAGAACTGTAAAAAAAGAAAAAAAGATCATACAATATATGGCCTTCTGTTTCTGGCTGCTTTCACTCAGCATGTTTTCAAGATTTGTTCATATTATAGGGTATATCAGTATTTTACTTTATATGCCTGGATTTTTTTTTTTTTTTGGTACCGGGGATCGAACTCAGATCCTTGCGCTTGTGAGGCAGGCGCTGGAACCACTGAGCTAAATCCCCGGCCCCCAATATATGCCTAGATTTTATGGATATACATCTCATTAACTGGAAGGTAATTTTTATTTCCCCTCTCCTCTCATCCCTTCTCCCAACAGGGAAGTAATACTTTTTAATTGAAACAAGACATACTTTAGCCTCTACAATCATTTTTTAAATTGGTTATTTCAAAAATGAACAGAAATAGTTGGCAGTGTATTCTATTTTGGTTTGGCAGAAGCAGAAGTGAAATCCTATATTGGTATGTTAGCGAAATTGTACTATTGCTGATGGAAATTGCTTTGTTGTCTATGTAGTCTGATTAGACTTCAAATTAATTTTGTACTGCCAAATTATGCTACTGTTCATAGTTACTGGATTCTAACTTACTTTCAAAAAATGTAGTTTTAAAAGTTTGTAGTTGGGCGTGGTGGCGCACGCCTGTAATCCAAGCAGGCCAAAGGCTGAGGCAGGAGGATCCCCAAGAATTCAAGGCCAGCCTGAACTACATAGCGTGACCCTGTTTTTAAAAAAGAAAAAAGTGGGGCCAGGGATTCAGCTCAGTGGTTTCGCCACCTGCTGTGCAAGCGCAAGGACCCAAGTTCAATCCTCAGTACCAGAAAAGAAAAAAGTTTCTATTACCTCGAGTGTTGAATTTGTTTTGGGTAATGTATATCAGTAATATACATATCAAAATCATTTTGGACTGGTAATATATTTTTGTTTTTGTTTTTTCGTAATATGTATATAAGATCACTGCCTCTAGCGTCTGACTGCTAGGCAGCTATGTGACCTTGCACAGGCTGTTGAATTCTGTATCCATTTTCTCATCTGTTCAAGGGTTTAGCATCTGCTTTTCCATGTGAGATTAAATGATGAGATCTAACATTTTTTGAGTGACATGTAATACACTAAGTATTAGCTGCTATTCAACTTTAAAAGTTGTCTGTTATCTGGTTCTCTTTCAGAATTCATAATGCTCTTAAAGGAATTCCAGATGACCGAGATGGACTATTTGACACAATCCAGCGCTCTAAGAATCACTATCAAAAAAGAGCATACCAGTGTATAAAATGTATGGTAGCACTCTTTAGCAATTGTCCTGTTGCTTACCAAATCCTACAGGTGGGTTTTTCTTTCTTACAGTTGCATAGAAATCTGAATCAGAATTAAAGATAATGTTTTCAAAGAAGATGTTGAGAATTTGGGGTTGTCATTTTAAACTACCTTTGGAAGTATTCCACATCCTCTCACGGCTTTATTTTCTTTCGAAGGGCAACGGAGATCTTAAAAGGAAGTGGACCTGGGCAGTGGAATGGCTTGGAGATGAACTTGAAAGAAGACCATACACTGGCAATCCTCAGTACACTTACAACAACTGGTCTCCTCCAGTCCAAAGCAATGAAACCTCAAATGGCTATTTTTTGGAGAGATCACATAGTGCTAGGATGACACTTGCAAAAGCTTGTGAACTCTGTCCAGAGGAGGTAAAAAAAGCCACCAGTGTGCACCCGATAGAAATGGAAGAAAGCAAAGTAATTCTTTATTTTATAGGCCAGTGTTTATGTATTAATGATAGAGTTTTAAAAAAATAAGTTGACTTAATGTTTACTGTATGTGAAGTTGTGAGGGATCCTTTTTTTTTTTCTTGTTGGGGGAGGTTCTGGGAAATTGTCTGAAAGGTAAGTATTGAGAATCCAGATCAGGGTTTTTTCATTTGCTTTAATTTGTTCACCTGCAATAAAAGAGAAGTCACTAATGGATCAGTTTTGTAGACTTTTTAAAATTTGCCTTAAATAAAAAAGTTTTAACATGAGCTTGAATTTGTCTACTTAATTCTTTCTCTTTAAATGTTTAAAATTAGGAGCCAGACGACCAAGATGCCCCAGATGAGCATGAGTCACCTCCACCTGAAGATGCTCCATTGTACCCCCATTCACCTGGATCTCAGTATCAACAGGTAAACAGTCAGATGTATTTTTCTCCCTAGAACCAATCTCACTCTTCATTGTAAAGGATGACTGCGGTTTTTGTGGTGACTATGAAGTAATAGGACTGTCTGGGCTAGCTTTGGGGCCCGGTCGGAAGAGAAATGGTTGGAGTGGGGTCGGGGTGCAAGTTGGAAGTGGGCCCTGTGGTGTTTCCTTGTCGAGTTAGGTGTCCCTCTAGAGTTAGTTACTAGAACTGGAATCATTCTGTCAATATAAAATGATCATCACTGTTTATTGTAAAGCATTATGGTGTCATTTCCTATTAGGCTAAGTCTGCAGTTGGATTCTGAAGACTAGCAGTGAAGTAAGCAATTGGTACACCAATGTAAGAGGTTCATGATTACTTAGCCTCAGATTTCAGTGACAGTAAAAATTATTGGAAAAAAATAAAAAATTTGGGGCCAGGGATGTAGCCCCGTGGTGTGACACCTGCCTGGTTAGCCCAAAGTCCTGAGTTTGATCCCTGGTACCAAAATAAAGAAAGAGAATTTGGCAGATTTCCACAGGTGATTGACTGTCACAGCACAGGATGCCAGACCCCACCCCAAAGGGACTGGCTCTGGCTCCATAGGTCAGCATCAGACAACTCCTACGGTCTGAGAAACATTAAGGCATTCTTTCTTAGGTTTCTGAGTATAAATAGAAATATACTAAATAGTTCATATTCAACATACTCATTTTTTTTTTTTTGGTACCGGGGATCAAACTCGGGTCCTTGCACTTGCGCAGCAGGCGGCAAAACCACTGAGCTAAATCCCCGGCCCTAACATACTCATTTTTATAATTGAGATGAGAGCCCTGTAGAGTCCAGGCATTTAAAGGTTAAGAAACCTGGGGCCGAGGATTCAGCTCAGTGGTTTTGCCGCCTGCTGCGCAAGCTCAAGGACCCGAGTTCGATCTCCAGTACCAAAAAAAAGAAACCAAATCCACAGAAGCTGCTTTGCTTAACCCCAAGGAAGGTCTTACATTGATCATGCCTTGTTATTTGCTAAATTATCCAGGCTGGCCTCAAACCTATCAGTCCTCCCTCAGCCTTCTAGGAAGCTGGGATTACAGGCATGTGCCCCAGACTTGGCTGCAAATCATTGTTTGTGAAGACTTAACCAAGAGCAATAACAGACTTTTGGTTATCACCTTTGCATCTAAATTTTTGGCACTAAAAATCACTTTGGCCAAATAAGACACCTACATAATCACTGCTCTTACTTGGAGCCTTAGGGTTTATATTTACCAGTAGCTTTTTCTCTTTTAAATCAGGTTATTTTTTCACTGTGTGTGTTAAGTCCCCAGAATGAAAGAAATGTTTAGTTTTCCACAATTATAAGTCCCAGGAATGAAAGACATATTTAGTGTTCCACAAACTTCAGTCAATTTTAAAGACTGTTGACTGTGGGAAAAGTTGTAATGTGAATATCTCTTCTCCCCTTCCAGAATAACCATGTGCATGGACAGCCATATACAGGCCCAGCAGCACATCACATGAACAACCCTCAGAGAACTGGCCAGCGAGCACAGGAAAACTACGAAAGCAGTGAAGAAGTATCCCCACCTCAAACCAAGGATCAGTGAAATGCACATAATAAACTGGTTCCATCGAGACTGTGCACCCAGGCCTTACAGTCCAACCTTTTTCTGTGTCTGGCTAATATTTAAAACTAGAAAAAATATTCCTAATCAACATGGAGTTGGAGAGTTTATTCACTGTCTTATCTGCAGAAATTTGCTGTCAATATATAACCCGCCTGCAGTGGAAAGTGTATAGTGTTTTGTAATAAATGGCCTGATGCTAATGTGTAAATGGCAAAGGTGTATATAGTATATTAATGTTGACTGTTAATTCTTAAGCAAGAAACTTTTTTCTTGATGAGACTCACAGATCTACAAAAACTACAAGTGTTTGCCTGCCTCGTGGCAATTGGATCAACTCCTTTACAAAAACAAAAACCAACAGCAACAAAACAGCCCATTCATGTCAGCCACACCAATAGTTTCTTGTTAATTCTTTGCCACTGGAATCAATTTTACTATGACCAATGTAAGGCTGGTAACCTTTAAATTATTTGGTTGATGTGGAAAATTGGTGATGTAACATTGTTTCTAGATCTTTTTCATTGCCTTTTTATTCTGATATTAGGTTAATCACTTTGAAGCTATAGTTATGCTGTAACATTTAGCATGGCTTCACACCAAGTTAGTGTAGCCAATGAGGACAAAATTACCATAATGACTGCAGCTGTCTTGGAGTGTGGGCTGTATTGCTCAGCTTTTCCTCCTTACACCTAGAATATAAAATACAAGATAAGAGAGAGATATGACAAACAGGCCGTTTTCAGTTGCACATAGACTCCTCCCTTCTGTTCAGTTGAGTCTCTGGGTGGGATGAAGAACACTTAAATATCAGTAATGGGAATTTAAAACAAATATGCAAACAGTTTGCTACGCTAGGATGCTGGAGCATAATAGAAGACTGTATTTGGTGTGCTTGTTTTGTTTCTTAGAGCTTATTAGGTGAATCTTCTACAACTTTCCTTCTGCTGGATCCCAGTGACATGGAAGTCGTCAGAATCCCACAGTACTTGGAGTACCTCTGCACCGAGATGTCTGGCTGATTTTCTGCTCAGTCACAATTTTACTTGAAAGCAAGAATTGTCCTAGCTCCTTTCATTATTCCAAAAATTTTAACATTCAAAGCAGGGTCTAATTAAAAAAGAAACTACTGGTTAGTTAATTGAGGTATCACAATTTCATAATAAACATGATTAAAGACAAGGAACTCATCAGTGAATACTGTATTTAAAAGAATTGGTGGCTTGAATGTGTGTAATTTTTTGGAACCTGTCTAAAAACCAAATACCCCCTGCAAACAGATACAGCCCACCCTATTCTATTTAAATATTTTGCTGTTTTATTTTATAGAAATTATTTTGCTGAATTCACAAATAGAATTTGATTTAAGAACTTTTTGTCCTGTGGTGTGTTTTTTGTTTTTTGGTTACTTTTTTGTCCTTTGTTTTTTTTTTAAGGACTGCATATTAAGATTCTGTGCATAGCATGCATAGGCATGACACTGCATTCAGGGTTCCGGGCACACTGAGTGTTGGTGCACAGAAAGACTTGACCTTTGGCCCTTTACTAAAGACTTAGAGAAAACAGGACGTTGACACTGTAAAAGTTTCCTAACAATCTTGTACTTTTTGTATGTTTTTTATATACATGTATATTTAATGAGCACAAGCTTGGTTGTATTTTTTAACAATTCAGTTAATGGGAAAATGTTTTGTCAAAAGGCTACAGTTGGAACTGAAAGCAGAAACAAAATCAAGCATTGCGTTATTTTGTGATTAAAAGGGCAGATATTTAAGCTAAGGCTTTGGGTATCTTACTTGCAGTACTCGATAGTCAATCTAGGTTTCTAGGTTTGCTGTAACATTAGGAAACTTTGAGCCCAGTTAAGATTGTTTTTACTTTGTGTTACATCTGAATTATTGTTTCGTTTCTTTGCAAAGCTAGGGATGGAAATCAGGGCCTCGGGCATGCTAGGCAAGCATTACACCACTGAGCTACATCCCCAGCCTGAATCTTGTTTGAGCAAAGGTTTTACAGTTTGCAATTCCAATTGGCAGTTTTAAAAGTTCCTCAGTTACAAGCTTCCTCAGCTAGTGAAGTTAGGTTAATGTTTGTGCAAGTTTTGCTAATTATACCATCTCACTTATCTGAGATGTGTTTTTTGTTTTGTTTTCTGCTCTTTAACAAAAGTATATAATGTACTTAATTTAAAAAGCCAATGACTTCCTAAATAAGAAAACACTTGACATTTTAGTTTGGTTTTTTATTTTTTTGGTACTGGGGATCGAACTCAGGTCCTTGCGCTTGCACAGCAGGCGGTGAAACCACTGAGCTAAATCCCTGGCCAAAAACTTGACATTTTAAAAGGCTGTGAATTTTTGTTTGGAGAGATGCCAACTTTGTTTGCTTTGAATTCATAAGCGCCCTAATGCCGGATGAAGGCTTGTGAATCACTTTTCCCTCCACTTGAGAAAGAATAGTCTTATAACCAGGAATGAGGGACAGTGAACAGTTATTTTTGTTTGTGCAAATTTTTTTCTATATATAACTCTTAAGCATTAATGTATAACTGAAATTTTAAGATGCATGTTATTGTAAAAGCAACATGGTGATTTTGAGGTCTTTCTGAACATAAATGGCACATTTTTAATTTCAAGTCTTCAAAGTGCCTAAATATTATTTAATTCTCCTTCGACTGTTTTTTTTGAGCCATATATTTCCTACTTTAAATGTTTGTTGCAGAATCTCACTATTCTTACTCTGAAAGAAATATTCCGGAGTTCTAAACGGCATGATTATTCTATAGAAGACAGTGGAATTTGTTAATGTAGACGGAAGATATTTTAGTTGTAAAATTGTGTGAGCCTGGGCATTGCCCAGTTGGAGCTAAGTATTTCAGTGTACAACTCGGTAAAAAACCCTATTGCTGCTGTTTCTAAGCCCTCCACCAACCAAAATTTCACGTTTGACATCATAGAAGCCAAGATAAGAACATAAACATATTTGGATTTTTTTCCTTTTGTTGATTTTTCTTTCAGTGATGATTTCCCAGCTTTTTATGTCTTTTAGCAACTACACAAATTTAGAATTATTAAAATGTTTTCTATTTTTTTCATGATTAACTTTTTTTTTTTTTTGGTACTGGGGATCGAACTTGGGTCTTTGCGCCTGCATAGCAGGCGGCGAAACCACTGAGCTAAATCCCCAGCCCTCATGTTTAACTTTTACTAGTGAATGGCAAAGTCTTTAATCCTAGTGGTTAAAAAACAGCTTTTTTTATTTTCATTTGAGTTTTGCAGATGAAAGCAACAATATTCAGATGACAACTTCAGAATAGTTCTTTCAGGTTTTTATAAGTATTTTTCCAGCTTATGTTCTCCCGTGAACTATTTTCCTTTGCAGAATTTTGTGGTTGATTTGGATATTTCCTGCCTTATTTAGGATTATAACCAGATTTTTAAAATTGCCTTTCCATTAGAAGTGCTCCGTTTTGCACTTTAGTTTGAAAGTACTATAGACATACTGCCGAGAAAGAAAGTAAGTCAACACCCCCCTTGCCCCAGCTTTTGTGTTACCAAAAAAAAAAAAAAAGAATGAATGACTTTTCAGTACTGGTTTCATAGTAGGGCTCGACCAGAATTTGGTCCTACGCTTATGTGTTTAGTATTTGAAAATACGGTTTCGGGTATGGTAAACCACTGCAGAAGTGCTAAATGTATTAAGAACTTGCTGCCGATTGTATTCATAACAATTATTTTGTGCTTGCAGAAATGTAGCACTTTTCCTCCAAATTTATAGGTGTAAAAAGGGGGGTGTGTGCCACATTTTAAAGTCACAAATGGAAATTTTTATTTTGAAATCCCAAAAGGAAATTTCACCACCCAAATCACACACTTAGCTTTTTACAAGCCAGCAGACTGACATAAAGATTGTCCACCGTTCCTAAGGTTTAGCACATATACAAAAATAAAACTTTATAAATTAAATTTTGGTTTTTCCTCTTTTATTAAAATATTTCTAAAATCTGAAGGGGGTGATTTTGTTTTTGATTTTTGCTGTGCTGAGGACTCCCCTTAGGGTCTGGAGCGTTGCTCTCCCACTGACCTGCGCCCCCAGCCCTGGAGGGAATTTTTTAAGGGAAATGTTTATGTGGAGAGGGATTCCGCTGTCATCTTGTAGATCTGCTGCCCAGACTTCCCTACTGAAATAAAGCAAACCATATGTTACTAAGGGGAATTATAGAAGGGAAAATTTTCTACTCGGCGCTCCTCCTCCTCCCGTTTCGTAGAAGTTCTTGTTGGCATGTTCTAAAGAAATGTGACGTTGGGGGCCGGGGATTTAGCTCAGTGGTTCAGCCGCCTGCTTGGAAAGCGCAAGGTTCTGAGTTCATCCCCGGTACCAAAAAAAAAAATGTGTCGTCGACAGAAACTTGGTACTTCTTTTAAAGTTGGGTTACTTCAAGGACTGCTGCTTTAAAAAGACAGTTTAAATTTTCATGTTTTCATCAGTTTTGTGGGTTTTGCTTTTTTTGAGACGGGTCTCACTGTGTAGCTCCGGCTGGGCCCTCGGCCTTCCAAGTGCTGGGATTACAGGCGTGTGCCACCATGCCCGGCCACAAGAGTTTTTAAAAAAACAATCAGGGAACTTTTTCTTGCATTTGGAAAACTCCCCATTGGATTAAAATAGTTCTGTGTGAGTGTTAAGTACAGGTTGAATTCTCTTGTCTGAAACGCTTGGGACCAAAAATGTTTTTCAGATTTGGTGTGCCCCACCTCATCTTAGGATATTTGCATATGCATGAGATGTCTTACAGGGGTAGGACCCAAATTTTAAAACAACATTCATTTCTGTTTCAAAAACAGCTTGTACGCCTGGCCTGAAAATGTTATGCAGTATTTATAGTGGCCTTTGGTTTTGCCGTGAACATTTTTCCCTCATGCTAGGGATGGAGCCCAGAGATTGGCATATCGAGGGTGCAGTTTGTTTACCACAGCTTACACCCCATCTCCACACCTTCCACAACTAATTTCAGACCCATAAAGAAAATGAGTTGATCCTTTTAGTTGTTGAATTTTTTTTTTTTTTTGGTACCGGGAAATCGAACTCTGGTCCTTGCGCTGGCGAAGCAGGCGGCGAAACCACTGAGCTAAATCCCGGCCCTGAGATGCTCCTTTTAAAAAGACATTCCATTTTGAAGTATAAAAGATGGCAACAAGGATGGTTTGAGCTATCATCTGATGTACAACGGGTTCATTCTGCTCCGCTAACACTAGAACATGCTGTGTTTCACCCAGTCAAAGGTGCACCAGGAGGCAAAATCATGTTCGGGGACATTAAAATATGCGCACTCTGGTGTAGTAATCCATGTCACGGCAAATAACTACTTCTGATGCTTGCACATAGAAGGGTTTCTTGAGGAGTCTTGCTGTGTAAGTCCTGGCTGGCCTGGAACTTGCAGTCCTGCCTCAGCCTCGGAAGTGCTGGGACTCGAGGCTTTTCTGACATTGCTTACCATTCTTAGAGGGATTTACAAGTCCTGTTTTAGGGGTGCTTGCTGACAAAGTTAGCCAATTCTACAAATTTACGAAGCACCTTGATGGAACTGAACCTTGGAGAACTCCTCCACCAAATTTTTTTTTTGGTACCGGGGATTGAACTCAGGTCCTTGCATTTGCGCAGCAGGCGGTGAAACCACTGAGCTGTAATCCCTGACACTCCCTCACCGAATTTAAAAGTGCCATAGATAGGGATCCTCTCGAGATACTCTCTGGCTCCACCTGCTGGTCAGTTGCCGGACTAAGTGTAGCAACTGACTTCCTCGGGCTCCCACCCCAGACGTTACCCAGTGGTAGCCTCCTTGCAAAATAAAAATTATGTTCAGACTTTCCTTTTTTGAGCTGTATAGATGTAAGAAAGTTCAAAATGGCTACTTGGATATTGGAAAGGATAGTTTTATGGAGTCCTTGGAAGAAATTCACATGAATGAGGAACAGAAGTTTTTTTAGTTTTTCTTTGTAATATTTTAGTGGGTTTTTTTGTTTGTTTGTTTTGTTTTTGTATTGGGGATTGAACTCGGAATCTTGAGCTTACGAGGCAGGCATCGGAACCACTGAGCTAAATCCTTGGCCCTCTTTGTTAATATTTTAAATGTTCATCAGTACATGTTTGCGGCACATAACAATTACATTCATCTCCGGGCCTTGGTACATGCACATAACACATCTTAATTCTTTTTATTTCAAGGCCAGATTGAGCAACTTGGCAAAATCATGTCTCAAGAAAATGAAAAGGAATGGACAAGTAGTTCAATACAAAGGCCCTAAGTTTCATTCCAGTACCTGTCCCCCAACACAAATTACTGGTAATTCTCTAAGCCATCTACTTTTAAGGTGTTTTCTTAAGCAGATATTATGTGCAATTTTTTTTTTTGGTACCGGGGATCGAACTCGTGTCCTTGAACTTTCGAGGCAGGCGGCAGAACCACTGAGCTAAATCCCCGGCCTTAAGCATATATTGTGGACCCACGGGTAATGGGCCTTATGAAAATTTCCAAAAACTAATATTAAGCATTATCCTTTTTTTGCTAGTTTGCACAAATTTATTAAAATGACATGTTTAATCTCCTCAATGAGCATCCAGCTGCCTACAATAAAGGCACTGGTTTTAGTTCTATTTCCAGATTTCAACTCATAGTAGTAGAGGAACACAGAATAAAGCATTATCTTCTTTAGGAAGTCTTAGTCAAAAACTAAAACGATGAAAGTACTAAAAAAAAAAACTTAAAGGTATGAAGTCAGTTTAAAATATCAGGCTCAAGGGCCAGGGATTTAGCTCAGTGGTTCCACCGCCTGCCTCGCAAGCAAAAGGACCTGAGTTCAATCCCCGGTACCAAAAAAAAAAAAAATTAAAATATCAGGCTCAAAAGGTTAAAAATAAAAAAATAAATGAATGAATAAAATAAAACATCAGGCTCTTAGCCGGGATTGGTGGCAGACACCTATAACTCCAGCACTTGGGAGGCTAAGGCAGGAGGATTACCGTGACTTCAAGGCCAGTCTGGGCTACATAAGAGAGACCCCATTTCAAAAGAAAAACAAGGGGCCGGGGATTTAGCTCAGTGGTTTCACCGCCTGCTGCGCAAGCGCAAGGACCAGAGTTCGATCCATGGTACCAAAAAAAAGAAAAGAAAAGAAAAAACAAAATCAGGCTCTCAACTAGGGCGCCGGCCTGTAATCTCAGAGTTCAGGAAGTTGAGGCAGGAGAATCACAGTGAGTTCAAGGCCAGCCTTAACTATGTATCAAGACCCTGTTTTAAGAGAAAAAAAAAGGATTAAATACCGAGCTCATGCAGCTGGGCATGATGGCATATGCCTGTAATCCCAGCACTCAGGAGGCTGAGGCAGGAGGATCTCTGTGAGTTTGAGGCCAGCCTGGGCTACATAGTGAGTTCAGGGCCAGCCTGAACGAAAAGGGAGACCTTGCCTCAAAAAAACAAACAAAGGGCCGAGGATTTAGCTCAGTAGTTCTGTCGCCTGCCTTGTAAGCGCAAGGTCCCAAGTTTGATCCCCAGCACCTCCCCCCAAAAAAGCAGTAGCTGTTGCAGAAATCCCGGAAATACACAGAGACACAGAATTTGCTTCTACAACTACCTTACTATTCAATCTATTAAGTTATCTAAAACTTTTCTGTATCATTCCTCCCTCTGTTTACTTCGGGATAATTCTATCCATTACAAGTTCTATCCAGTTTATCTACATTTCTTAACACTAGCATTTGGTAATCTTGAGCTGCAGCACTGCGCTACCATATAAATTTTGAAATCCATTGGATGACACAAGGACCAACATTAATATTAATATTATAACAAGAAGGGGACTCAGAAGAGGTCCTATCCAAGTTTTTATCATCCTGCCCAAGTAAAATTAATCCCGTAGGACAGCTCTCCTATACCAAATTTCTCATCAAGAGCCTTGATGATGAGTGATTCTTGTAGTACACCAGATTTATTAGCCTATTAACAACTCTCTTCTCCAAGAAGTAAGCAAGTCCCTCCTTTCTGGGCTGTGAGCAAATCGAGAGCATGCCTATTCTGTAATGACATTGGCCAGTGAATCTAGTTGGGTTTCTAAAGCCTGAAGTGTGTCTCTAATTTCCTCAAGATCTTTTTAAATTTCTTGTCCTAATGAAATATATTACTCCTTGTAGCCAAATAAGATCCCATGGGATTGGCATATACAAAGATATAGGATTACATTGACCTTGTTTACAATTGTTACAATTACCAGTGGCTCGACCAACAAGGGAGCCATTGATCCAAACTTGTGTTTTCCCTTTGCAATATAATTTTTCATTAGAATAGCCCCCCACAGTCAGAAGTTACCCGAGGTCCCCCATAATGTTTTTATCAAAGAATATAGTAAACAGATAGTCTTCCGGTTCACATTTTACCATTTTAAAAGTCACATACTGTTCATCAAACTTTTCATTAGTAGGCCTAAACACCCGCAGTTCGAAAACAAAGAAACTTAAAGCAGTGGTGATCTGGCACAGCTCAATAATCCATGTTGTCCTTCTTGGTGCTTCCATTCTTC